AGGTACGGCTCCGACTCCATGAATCCACTCCCTTCCAAGTAGTGCATTGAAATTTGCATGTGACTCGGACTACAACAAACACAAGTAGGCCTCGAATAAGTGCCTACTTTCACATTTAAGGCAATCATGCCTTCGAACTCGATGTTTTTCCGCTAAAATCGGAAATCATGATATTGTGTCCGACTAAGTCTTTTAGTTCAATATCAAACCTCTTCAAAGATAGTGATTGGTAATATGTTCACTCGCTGCACCACCATCGACAAGGACTCTATTCACCATTTATCCTTGAATCTCGATATTCAGCAATAAAGACTTCAGATGGAATCTCATTTCCTCAGATGGAGGATCGATAAAAGCAGCATCTCTATGAGGTACTTCACATGATGCTTGTGTTACCCATGTTACTTTTGGCCTTATATCTTCTGAATAGAAATCATCTTCTCGATCGGCATCACTTTGTTCTTGATATTCTTGATACTCACTAACGTACTCTGCGGGTAGTATCGATATTACTCGCGATTTGATGTTCATCCCAGCCTACCCTCATTTTTCTCGTCGAAAAAATCTCTTGCATATTGGTTCCCCATTGGTACATTATTCTCTTCAAAGTTTCGTAGTTATTCCAGTAAGGGATCCTTCCTCCTCTTCTCTAGGGCCTTCCTCGAATCGCCTTTGGAATGTTGGGAATCCAGTATTCGATCATTCATCGTATGAAAGTCTCTCGAAGACATCATTACCCTGAAGTTTGCCTCTTCCTCCTCGAGAAGAATACATCTCTCTTCTAACCCACTGTCTTTGATTTCCATTAACACCAGAACCAACGGATTTCTGTTGACTTTCCCCTATCATTGGTTGAGCTGTTTGATCCACTTTGTCATTACCTCTTTTATTTTGATTCTCGATTTTCTTTATCTGTTCCACTCTGAAAGCTCTAGCAGCTGACTTGTCGAACACTGCACTACATCGTGGACACAACGACACATCTTCATATTTTTCTTTCTTTCTGTTTAAAAACTCGATGAGAGAATCTCCTGTTCGAGGATAGATCTCCCTCTCGAATTCTTTCTCGAATTCACTCAGGTCGAACTCTATATCTTCTTCGGGTACATCCATTCTGACATGCTTGGGATCAATGTCTTCAGTAACATCGACCATGCCTATAAAAGCCGAATTTGTCACCCGGACATCTTCAGTCATGCCCGTTTGGGATTCAATATACCCCACTTGAACCTCGAATGGACTCGTGTCCACTTTCATTGACATCTCTTCGAACTTCAGTCTTCCTTGGTCGATTGCATCTTGGATTGTATTCTTGAAATGTATACAATTGTTAGTCCAGTGTCCATAAACATTATGAAATTTGCAGTATTTTCGACTATTCCTTTGTTCTGCAGAAGGCAGTTTATGATCATCACTCAATTTAATCTGTTTATCTTTTAATAGAATATCGAAGATCTTATCTGCCTTCGTTACATCAAAAGTATATGTTAGATTTGTCATTTTGTCTTTTACTTCATTTTTTTGTAGTAATTTACAAATATATGGAGCTCCTACTTTGAGCTCTGCTATGTTAACTTTCTCATCGACAATTTCTTCAATATTAGTTTCTGTCGAGGGATCTGTCTCATACACATCATTTATATATGCTACTCTTTCTTTTTTCATGGGTTTTTCAAATTTCTTATACCTTTGTTTTTCATATTCAATTTGTTCTACTTTTCTCACTTTATCAGCTAATTGAGCCATGTCATTCAATGGTAAATTAACTAACTTCTTCCTAATCGAGAATTCTAAGCCTGCAGAGGTCATTCGACTAATTCATATTCGGGAATTTGAGTAAAACATCTCGATTTCATTTGTCTAAATCTATTCAAATAATCATCTATACTTTCATGATTGTATCTTTTTATGTTCATCAAATCGATGAGGCTTACTTGAGTCTCTCCTCTAAAGAATTGCTCATGAAAATTTCTTTCCAGCTGCAACCAATTATATATCGAATTGGGCGGCAGCGAAGTAAACGAAGTGAAAGCATTTTTCGTCAATGAACTAGGGAAATATTTCATTTTTAATTCTTCACTCATCGCTAGATCCCCACATTCGATCTGATATCGAGCCACGTGCTCGATTGTGGATTCACCAATTTCTCCAGCAAATTTGGTGAATTTTGGTATTTTGTATCCTCGAGGTAATTCTGTCTCGAGAATAACATTCGGAAAAGGAGAAACAAAATACATTTGATTGGGTGTTCTTAACTCCATTCCTTGGGAATTCACCCTTTGTCCTAACATGTGATTATACTGCATATTATTTTCATTGTACATATTTTGAAATTCTTCATTCAGATTCCCGTAAATATCATTCCTCACATGTTGATATTCGTTCCCCATATGCTGATGTTGATCATTGTTTCGATTCCTCCTCAATAGATACGGGGGATTGATGTTAGCACTTTGGTTAGTGCTTTGATTGGCATGATTTTCCACTCTTGTTTGTCGAGGTATAGCCAATGCATCCCCGATACGGGTCATTTGGTCTGCTAATATCTCAAAACTAGCAGTAGTGTTTTGAACTAATGGATTGAGGACTGTAGTCAACTGTTGTGATAACATGTTCACCATCTCAAAATTGCTCTCATCCATTTGTTGTCTAAGTACTCCTAGTGAGTTGTTGGAGATCCCAGTACTAGTGTTTTCAATAGTCTCAAAATTAGATCGATGATAATCTCTATCGAATGCATTTCTCCCATGATTCAGATTTGCTCTGAGATCTAGATTTGGAGGTATCTGTTGTGTACCTAAATTCTGCCCACTCCCTGAATTCTGGGGGATTACTAAATTTTGAGATCCTAAATTGGGAGAGACTCCGAAATTTTGCGGCATACCTAAGGTTTGAAAGGTACCTGAGTTCTGAGGCATTCCTAGGTTAAATCTCGAGTTTCGTTGTATCGAAGAGGTACCAACCCCATTCATATTAAGTGAAAACCCAGGTGGTCTTACGCTCATATATGGCCCAGCATTTGTTGTTATGGGGTTTCCCATAGTTTGCATATTGTTTGGTATCACCGTACTAGATCCTACTTGGGTGTTTGCTAATGTGCCTGCATTTTGTTCATTACTCACAGGTATCGACATGCTCACGGTTGTCGATATTACAGGCATATTCCCATTATAACTTTGCCCCCCAGTATTTGGTGGATGTGCACCATTTAGACCCTCACTATTACTCTGGTTATTGGGTGGATTCTGACTCATTCTTATAACTCGCCCACTCCTTAATCTCATATACTTTCAAACTAACCAATTTTGTGTATTTTCAACACAAGATGTCCCCTACCTGGCGCGCCAATTTGTTTCTGGTGGAATTTCGATCGATTCCGATTCTTAAGGTGTTTTGATTCTAATCAAAATTCAACCACGCAAGTTCTTTTTTACTTAGGCTAGCAAATTGATTTTCAATTGAAATGCATATGAGAATCGAAATTTACATAGTATCGAAAATGCTGTTTTTGGTATTTTATGTTTAGAGTGTTCAAAGTAAACAAAGCAATAGAAACGTCGAATCGAAAAGCAAAACCGAAAATTGAATTGTCAAGAGGTAAAATGCAGAAACCTCAAATTTGCATTAAATGACAAGAAATTGGAGTAACGAGAATGTAAATGGCAGGAAATCGAGATTGCAGAAAATATAACTGGCAGGAAATCGAAATACGCAGAAATGTAAATAGAAAGGAATCGAGATTACAGAAATGTAAATAACAAGAAGCTTAAATGCGGAAAACTTAACTTTCATTAAAGGAAATGACAAGGAATCGAAAGTTCAGAAACTTAAAGTTGCTAAAGATAAATTGCATCAAATTAGATTACCAGGGAAAATAAAGAAAGCAGTAAAGGTACTCAATGAGCATGGAAATCCAGATCGCCAGAAACTTCATGATGTTCGTCGTTCTCCGGTAGACTTCTCACTAATATTTCTGTTCTCTGCCAATTTTTCACCCCCTTTTTTCTTTTCATTTTTTGCTCTATTTATAGATCATCTTTCAAGTAGTCTCTTAGGAGCAGTTAACGAAACTGCTACCACGTTCTTCGTGCATGTTGCGGTTTCTTTTCCTGTGGTGTTAAAACCGCACCCATGTTCCCATGATCTTCGACCTCTGCCACGGTTAAAAAACTGCTTCCTATCTGCGTGTTTACCTATTTCTCTTTATGATTTGGCCAAGGTTTCGATATCCACGTAAGTTAATCTTTCCCTCAATTTCGATTTTAAGATCTCAAGAACTTTGAAATACTTTCGATTCCTTTTAACCTTAACGTCATATACTTCTAATTTCTTGGTTTTTATTCGACAATAAACATTTAACTATTATTCCTTCGATTCTTGATTCTGCCTCTCGATTTTATATGTCACGCACTTCTAATTGAACATCGAATGGTTTTTCATCCATCTTTTCGATTTCTCAATGAATCACATGTTTCTCGATTTTTCTTTCCTTCGTTTTTTCGATCACTTTTCTCGATTTTCCACTAACAACTATAAATCACATAATAAATTATTTTTTACTACTATATATACATATTTATTCTACTCATTTAACTAATATATAACTAATATATAATGTATTTTTCATGTATATGTATTAAATTAAATAGTGTTTAGGATTATTGTTTGGATAAAAAGAATGTCACGTCATCTCTAATATATGGTAATAAAGTTTACGTGCACACAGGCATTTGTAAGGTAATATTTTATGTTAAACCAAAACACAATTAACCATTCCTTTCTCATTTATCATTATTAACTTCAAAATTCTATGATCTGAACAGATCGGCTGGGCCCATTTCAACTTACCCAAAACTGAACCCAGAAAGTGTTGGGCCGGGCATTCACGGGTGCGCTAGAAACAGCGAACAGAACAATCAAAATCTGGTACAGAATCTGGGATTGGTCGAGGTCGAAGGTGGGAAATTAATTGAAACTCAAGTGTAACACATGATTCCGTGATGGAAATGTGTGCATCATCATCGACGAGGATTTTTTTGCTTATTCTCTTTATCTTTCATTTTTCACCCACAATCACTGCTATTAGGAAGGATGTTAGTTTTCAATCCCTCAGTTCCTGCAAAACTACCGTTCAAGGCAGATACCTTCTTTCAGATGACAACGGTTGGTCATGACAAAATTGTATACTTTTCTTAATTTAATTATGATATATTAATGTTATCATGTTCTACGGTGTTTGCTATCAATTTTCTGCTGTTGATTGGTGTTGAACGACCTATTGGTATTGATTTAACATTGTTTGGTATTTGGTAGGTTACGTGTGTAATGCTGTGTCTGTTAATTCACGCTCTCGTTGCTGCCCCCAGAGGGGGGAGAAATTTTCTTGTCAGTGAGTTTTTCTGTTTCCTAACTCTTGCTTGCATTTGAAGGGAACAACTGAACAAATAGACACCAACCATGTTATCACCATCTTACATTGTGACTTTTTTTTCTTTTTGCAGTGGATGCAATCTTCTTTCACAATGTTGCAACTCTTATGAATATTGTGTTTCCTGCTGTCTCAATCCTGCTTTGGTAATCTCTTATATGATATTTCACTTTTTTCTCTCATTCCCCGTTTTGGGGCACCACCCATTTGAACAAAGAGAGTGTCTTAGTGTACGTTTCTTCAACTTAATTGAACAGACAAGTAAGGAGCAAGTGCTGAAGTTGAAGGTTGCTAAGCCTGCTACTGCAAGTAATGCTTCTTTCTATCTTTTTCCATTGGCGTTTTGTTTGGTTATGTAGAATTGTGTTTAGAGCTCTCGATTACCAGTATGTTTCTAGACACATGACTGATTTCATACTTATTTGCCTTAATAACTAATATGTTTCTAATGAATTTTGTTGCATGTGAAATTTTAATAAGAAACACATGAGATTTTCAATTTTGTCATTTTTCTCCTAATCTGTCTTGGTTGTCTGATAACTAGTTCTTAAGTTACCCAACGTCTCTTTTGCACGTCGATAAAGCCCAAATTTATTTGTTCCAACATACATCATTTTATTTTTGGCAGGGACTTATATAAGTATTTTTGACTACTGTGCTAGTAGATGCCGTCATAGTTCTGAGAGTGTGGTGAGTATGCCCTTGCACTCCTGCTACATTGTTGTCCTTGACGTTTAAACTTTGTTTTAGAAATACTTATATGGTTATATCTTCAATGTACAAGGTTGCACATTCTATTGAAACCGAAGCCCGTTTCATGTCAACTGATTTTTGTCAGACTTGATTTAGAAGCATTTCACATTAGTCTATTTCTAGGCATTTATGATGGAGTTGACTATGCTTCCATAAATTTTTATGTCATTATTAGCATAACAACTTATTTGGAGCATGTTTTCTGTTCTTTGTTTTATCTCACAATTGAAATAGTAAATGGCCCTGTTCCCTTTTAGTCTGTGATGCTCAGGTTTACCTTGTATATTGACTTTCTTTAGAAGGCTAAAATGAATTCCTATTTCATACATACTGAAGACCATTGGAACTCCCGTACATTTTAAATTTTAGGTGTATGAAGAAAAAATACCACAATGGGCAGGCATTTTACTTATATTGTGACTCAGGTCTAAAAGAAGAATGTAAAATATCTTGGTGTCTAATATCTTTATATTTCCCAGCTGTTTAATATTTTCAAATTTTCGTCAGTGTTGTAAAAAATATTATTTAACTAAACATACTAGCATATGAGCAATTAATGTTGAAAATTCTAACTTTTAAACAAAAAAAAAAACTAAACTAAAAACGTGACTCAATACTATTATACATGGCTCCACAGATACATTGTTTTGTAGTTTGGCCAAATAGAATAAAATAATATTATCAGTTTCATAAGCCAAACCAAATACTTACTGCAAACAAAGGAAACCCAAGTATCCCATAAAGTCTACTAAAATTGGGCTTTGAGGCCAAGACTACATGTAAGATCGAACTTGTAATCTTATCAGTTGAATTGATTTTTCTGGTTTTGTCACTGTACACAACTCATACAAGTTTTATGAAAAAAATTGCATGTCAGTTAATTTTTATTTTTAGCTTAGGATCTAAACTTCATTAGGTTCAAGAGTTGACTCAAGAGCTGATGTTTCTATCTCTTGTGTAATGTTTCAGGTCCATGAAAATGCTTATATTAGTGACTTCCACCACTGCTTTTCTCTGCCACTGAATTCTTCATGTAAGTCCGCAGAGGAAACTGTCATGTTAGTTAAGGGGTAGTAATTATGTTAAGTTCTTAATCATATGTTGTTACCCATACTTTATGATTTTATTCTATTTATCACTATTTAGACGAAATTTGTTCCTTTTCATGTATTGAAGCAGGGGAAAATAGTACTGTCAAAGAAACAAGACTAAGTGGCATTAATGTTGTTGTTGGGAGGTGAATAATTACTGAGATTGCTTTTTTTTTTCTTAGGGCTGACATTTGCAGTTTCTTGTAGCATAGCAGTTGAACCTATTATCACTTGTTTGACAGGCAAGGTGAATCATGTAATTCTGTTTGCAAATCAAGAGGAAAATTATGCGTCGCAAATAAACTTGTGCTGCTTAATAATTGTGACATGTAAGTGATGCAATGAAATCTTGTTCTAAATCTGCTGGCTATGCATGTATAACTATATTTCAATTGTACACTTTACTCTGTGTAATTGGTCCTCACTGTGCACAAGATGTCTAATTTTTATTAACTTGCACGATTTTTCATGACATATAGTTTTCTGGAATTCCTCGTTCCCGTTTCACCTTTATTGTTGCTTTGTTGCAAACTTATTTACCAGTTACCATGGATAGTGTCTTGAGAACAAAAGTGATATATGGTGAGGAAGAAATATCATGCATGCTGATAATTAGCTTTTGTTCTTTTAATATTCTGATCTTATCAATTATTCATGACTATGTTGGCAGTATTCAGAAATATATGAGCTGCAAGGGATCTTGCTTGGCAAGTGTTGGAGCAGATCAACCCGCTGAAGTTGTTTATGATGCCCCAATGCATCTGGTAATGGCTATGATTTACTAAGTACAAACGTGTTAGATTCCAGAAACTGAAGTAGTTAACCAATAGGCAATCGTTTCCGTATAAATTGGATTAGGTGATATGGAATCAAAGGATCTCTTACTAGTTAGTAGTTACTATTCCTAATACTGGTATTTGAGGGGTCCTTTTGAAACTGGGAAATTCATTTGAAATTGCTTGTATTTGTTTTAATGTGTGCACCCTCACAGAACCATTAGTTTGGTGGTTTTACTTTCAAAACTCCTTGTTGAAGGTGGTGTGTTGATAATTGATAAGCTATGAGAATGATTCTAGTGACTTGTAGCCTTTTCATTTTCTCTATAAATGCTACTAAAGTAGTAATAGGCTGGAAATTCTGTGAATATTAGATGGTCTCCACATTTTCATATCCTATATTAAATTAAACTCATACTTATTATGCGGTAATTGTTAGGATCGAGCGCTTACCACTAGGCCAAAAGCTATAGCCATTAGTCAGAGCGCAACTCTTTTTACTTTAACAGCCCAAGCGCCACGATTCAATTGTGACTCGGCCCACCTGACCTTCGTCACAGGACAATTGATGCTACCTGCAACAATCTCCCCCTCAGCAATTGTCCTACAAGGTATCCCACTCTTGGATTGTGACTTGGCCCACCCGGCCTCTGCCACGGGACAATTGTGCAACCTGCAACAATCTCCCCCTCAACAATTGCCCACCAGGAATCGAACTCGTGACCTTGGCTCTGATACCATTTGTTAGGATCGAGCGCTTACCACTAGGCCAAAAGCTATAGCCATTAGTCAGAGCGCAACTCTTTTTACTTTAACAGCCCAAGCGCCACGATTCAATTGTGACTCGGCCCACCTGACCTTCGTCACAGGACAATTGATGCTACCTGCAACAGTAATGACCTTTCTTTGAATTGTTCATCCATTTGAGAAGATCCGGATCTCTAAATTTTGTAAAAATTGGGTTATATGGAAATATGAGCATGTCAATTAAACGATTCTAATGTGTGTATGGCTGAAATATTTCATGGGAAAAAAAGTTTCAGGACATTGATAATTGATATTTTATTTGTCTTATTTTCAGAATCCAGGATCATGTTTGTTCACTGATACACAGTCTGTTCTTTCTTGTGATGGTTTACATCAGCACACAAGGAGACTGTGCCCCTGTGCATAATGTTAGCTGGGTAAGTCTTGCTCTGAATTCTGTCTACATTATGTCAAACATTAATGTAGTTTTCTTTATTGGTTTGCCATGGAAAAGGATAAAGATTTCTTAGGAACTAAAGTCAAGTTTGGCATTTGCTCTTCTGTAATACTGGGCTGGTTGTCTTATTTTGTTGAGGCGGAAAAGTGACTAATTTTCGTGTTACTATACAAACTTACCTTTTTTTTTTTTTCTCTTACATCTAATGTACTAGATATCATAACCTAAAAAGGTTGGTTTCGAAGGAGGCAACTCTTTATTTGATGTCACTGACCAAGGAGGCAACTCGTGTACATCATCAACCCTTGGAAAAATATATGTACCATTCATTTGAGCTTATGTTGTAAAAATTAGCTCTTTATTATTCCTTTCAAAATTTTGAAAGAATCTACTTTAGGCTGTATTTTGGAGAAAATGTGATAGCGATAGAATAGAAGGGAAGAAAAATAGGCCAAATGGCTTATACACAGAGGCTACTTTCCTCACTTTGAATGGATTATTGAGAGAGGAAATGAGATGGCAAAATGTTGTAAGTATAAAATTGGTATGTATTGTGAATGTAAAACTTTTTACATGATCAACTAATTATAAATACTATTTTACGATTTTTTAGTTAAAATGTCAACAAATTTATCATACCTTGTTATTATAATATAAGTGTGAAATACTTTTAACATGTACAATGCACATGTTCTTTACTCAAAATTTTAGTTCATACCAATTATTATGCTTTTTCTACGTGAATGGGCTTATGGAGCAAATAATTAATGCTAAATTTTGTAATAATATTATGATAATAATAAAGTTAGTCTCCTTTATCACTCAAATTTGATTACAAATAAAAGAGAGTGAACAATCAATCTCACTTTCTCTTCGCCTCATTTGTCAGGACTTTTTCTTCCGTAAACTGAATGCGTCCTATCAATACTGTACACATACATTATTTTTCATATGTAATTTTTAACATCCTAAAAGTTATAAATATTAAACGTTGGTTCTTGCTGAAAACTCAAGTAACTGTAGCAACTAACTACCTTTGAAATTATTGTCCTATTAAATTCCGTGTAACAGTTAACACCACACCAGAAGAGTTATTATGATGACAATTGACACCCAAACAAATGAACCTTCGGTTCAAGAGTTTGTAAACGCCGTTAGCCTAATTACAAAGGCAGAAAATTTAAGAGGACATTGGCCAAAAATCCGATATGAAGGGAAAGAGAGAGAGAAGAAAACTCAATGAAGTATCATCCACTGGCACCGGTTGATAAATTAATAATTACTATAAGTCCAAAGTAAAGTACATCCTCTGTGCATTCAAAAGCTATAATCTGGTTTAAAGATCGTCTGAGTCAATGTCTTTGAAGATGAACTATTATCCTTTGATCCTGTGAGTGCCCCATTGTCCTTGTTATCAACATCTTCTTGTTCTTTGTTAGTATCAGCAAAAGCTGGATGGTTGAGAACATTATTGAGTAACTGTGTCCCTCTGAGTGCGTTTGTGAGAGGCAAGTGTCCCTCCGGGGTGTCATCATTGAGCTCCCAGGTGAACTCAGAAGGGAAAGACCTGTAATTGTATTGCTCCACCTCAGTGTCAAGCTTCTTCATCCACCCCACCTTGATGAAGAACTTTGTGTAGTCCCCATTGGCCTTCTCCAGTATCCGCTTCTGCACACTGTACCCAAATTTGTTGCCACTGTGCTCCCTCCAAAGGGTGTCAATGGTTATGAGGTCGCTCTCCGATATGAACTGCACCTCCGAGAAGAACACGTAGCCGCGCTTCTGCGCGGCTTCGCCTGCAAGCACGATGAGAAGACGACGCGTCTCTTCATCAGCTAGCTGGAAGCTTTTTGAGGAGAGGTGTTGGCGGAGGAGGTCAAAGGAGGGGGTGGTTTGGGAGGTGGAGGAGGAGTGTGTGGTTTGGGAGAGGGAAAAGAAAGTGATGTGAGAGTTAGAAGGAGTGTGGTGGGAGAGAGTTAAGTTGGGGTGTGTGGTGGGTGTGGAGGGTTTGAGGAAAAGTGATGTGGGGGGAGGGGTGTCTGAAGGGTTGTGGTGGCGTCTGAGGAGGGAATGGTGGTGGTGGTGGATGGAGTAATGAAGAGAGTTGGTGGCCATTTTAGTTTGGGATAACATGAAAGGAGAAGAAAGGGTTAAAGAAGTGAGTGTGTGTTTGATGTGATTTGAAGGAGCGTTTTTTGATAATGTTGGTTGAAGGTTTGGCTTGGAAGGAGGGGATAAGAAATGTGTGGGATGGGACTGTGATGAGTTAATCAAAAGCAATATAATAGGAGTTCGTGATTGGCTGAATGAGGGTGAGGCTAGATCACACTCTCTATCTGCACTCTTTGTCTTTCCCTCTCAGCACAATTAATTTTTTTAGCCCATGAAACTGACTTCTTTTCTTTTCTTAGAAACAATAATATGTGGCAGAATATACTCCTTTTCTTTTCTTTTCTCAGAACAGAACCAACAAAGACTATGACACTTTTCTAGAAATTTCTATATTTGCTACTTTGAGTTTGCTAAAGAGAAAATTATATATGATTTATTGTACAGATTGTTATGTGTATCATAATTATTAAATGAATGTATAAATTGTGATTTTTTTTCTCCTTACAGACCACACAAATGTAATTCTGATTTGATTTTATGCAGCACTGTTGTTGGCATGTTACAATGCTGAGATACGATATTGATGTTGTTTGTATGCCTTGGTTTGTGTTGTGTTGTGAGTAATAAGCATTACTCTTAACTAGCTAATAGTAATGGCACTTTGATGATGTTGTGTTTGTTAGCATCTTTGTTTCTACATTTACTTGGACTTGTTATCACCTTTGTTTTCAAGCTATAATTGCTATAAAATATTAGTTTGTCTAGTATAATAATTATACTAAGTGGAAAGTTAACACATTGTTTTTGGCATGTAATTTGGATACTTTTCTTAAGTGATTATATGCATATAAATATGCTGTTAGGTAATTATGTATGTTAAAACTACTCTTATCTTCTAATAATGAATAAAAATATTTTTACTATCCACTTACTCACAAGTACAAATATTTTTATTATTCACTTGTTAACGAGTACAAATATTTTTATTAATTGTTTTTTAACAATATGATATTTTTATTGTCCACTTATTAACAAAACGAGTACGTAATATTTGGATATACGTTACTCACTAATGATTTTTACTTAATATTTTTAAAATTATAATTATCAAAATAAAGTTATCCTGTGAAAAAAAATATAACTTATTTAAAAATTATTTATAATTGAAATTTATAGATTTACTTTTTTATCTACATTTATAAAGTTATATTTTGTACTACAATTTATTTATCTTAATATTTTACAATTTTTTTATTTAAATTACATTTTATAATAAAAAATATAAATTTAAAAAAAAATTAAATAAAATAAAAAATATTGTGAATATACATATCTAGGTATATATAAAATCTATAAATATTTTATAAACAAATATCAGTCTTTAGCATCTCATGAATGGAGTGCATGATAAGAAAGAAAACTGAGATGAATGACTCATTTTAAAACATCTAACAAAAACATTTAAGAATTTTCATAATGTTTTCTTATCAAAACACAACTTCTATAATGTTTAAGGATTACATTTTCAAGTAGATAAAAAAAATGGTGCAAGGAAAAAATGTGGGTCGCAAATAAAAATATTCTTCCTAATATATAATTATGAACAAGATTAGTATCAATATATTACTCTTTTTTTTCTTTTTTTTAAGTATTAACACAATATGTCTAAAAGAATTATAGTTGTTGAACTTTATTCATATATTTAATCAACTTTAAGAATTATAACATTATTTTCAAGAGTGATTATGTTCCTAATATAGTAGTTTATGATTTAAAAATAAATTGTGACAAAACTGAAATATTTTTATAATAATAAAAATCACTGATTTAATATGGATAAAAATGTTTGATATTCAATAATAAAAAAGACTAAAAAAATACATTTTAAAAGATTTGTTTAATTTTGTTTTATCTATTTGATTTAAAAAATTACTTTAAAGATCAATTTAAATTTTTTTTTAAATTAAATTCAAATATAAAATATATTTTATCAATCTTAATTTTTTCGTTTACAAAAATAAAAATAAAAGTAATTTTAAAAATTATTTTAATAAAATAATTATTGTAATTTTTAAAAACTGAAAATTATATTTAAAAGCAATAACAAAAATTATAAGTTAAGTTAAAAAAAAATTAAAAACAGTTTTAATAAAATAATTGATAAAAAACTTTGTTAATTAAAAAAAGCAGCTTTAAATTTCGAAAGTATGCGAAATACTCTCAAGTTTGAAGTTTAATTATGAAACGACAAATCTACCCACTCGTGTAAGAACATGGTTGAAAAATAATTAATATTAATAATGAAAGTACAAAGAGTATGCTTATTTCCGAAGTTATTGGGTATTGGGCTTCATAATACGAGCCCAACATGTATGCAGGAAGAATATATCTTAACATTTTCAAATATTATCTATTTCCAGGATTTGAATCTTAAGTTAAAACCTAATTAGTTGTTAACCAAAAATCAACATTTTAATGTTTATATATAAAATAATATTACTTATTAATTTTCTTATTACTGATTAAAATAATTTATTTTAATCAAAAGAATAAGTTGATAATTGAGACAAGCATATTCCACGTTCATATTTTAACATACAATCTAATATTAAGAGAAATGTTAGAAATATTTTTTAAATATATTTGTCTATTCGTTCAAATTTATTGAAAATCATAAAAAAATTAGTGAGTTTTACAATTTACTTAATGATTTCTATTTATTTTAATGGATAAAAAAATGTTATGAGTGTGCTTTTAACCCTAATCTACACTTAATTAACCTTTGTTTTAGACATAATCAACCAACTTCAATATAATACAAGTTCAAAACTCGAAACTCTGTTACTAGTTTTTTCCTTTCTGTTGAGTATAATTTTGTGTGACTGCATGTGAACGGTAATGAAGTCAAACACAGCTGGTGCAGATGAATGAAGCCACCAAAATATTGCTCATCTCTGACTACTCTCACTATATGTAAGACCAAAATATCGCCACCTTCATCACTATTTATTCATTGTTCCGTCGTTTTCGAAACCGAAAACCCTCTTCTTGACCGCGCTGAAAGAAACCGAATCGGATTCAGCTGAGAATGGGGCACAGTTCGAAGAAGAAGAAGCGCGGAGGCGGGAGCGGTCGCCGGAGCAAGGGAAGAACGCAGTCCAAAGATCATGCTTCTCAATTCGGCGCCGACGATTACGACCAGCTCTCCGATGAGATTACCGCATTGTAAGCTTCTTCCTAAGTTCCAACGCTCTGTGCTATCAGCGTCGATTTGAAGTCGATGCAATTGATATCTGTTTATTTGTTAACATGAAATGTACGCGTTGTTGCTTGTTTAGGTGTGCAATTTTCCAAGAAGACTGCAAAGTTCTTCCAGGATCGCCTCGTCGTATAGTTATTAAGCTCAGGTGTTTGTTATCTTTTATTTTTTATCTTCATGATGATAGATTTATGCATGCACTATGTAAGTCACCCAATCACAATTTGCCATTTATGTTATGTTTCTTGACTAATATAATAATTTGTTTCGGAATCATGTCTATCATGATTTCTGATTAGTTCATAGTGTATACAAATTTAACACAAAAATGTAAGTGTATAGCACTGTGATATTAGTCTTTGAAACTAAGAAAATGTAAATGAGTTTCTAAAAATGCGATCCTTCAATCGCATTAGTCCAAATTAAAAAAAAAAAAAAACTTGAGTGATAATATTGACAGATATGTAGTGACCAAGATAACAATGGACAGTTAAGTTGAGAGACTTAAGTGAATCCTGGGACTAATGTGCCAACATTATACACGTTTTGGGATCAGAGTGGTGGATTACGCAATTAAACTTTGATATTGCATAGAAAAACTCTGATGTACATTAGTGTTGCTAATAGTTATCTCTCTTGTTGTTCGATGGTTTCTGCATTAAATTGAGCAGGCCTTACTCAATGGACATGGGCTATGAGGACCTAGATGTTTCTGCCACTCTAGATGTCAGGTAAGTTTAGTTATTGACCCTTTCCTTTTTCTTAAGGGGAGCTTTGTTGCTGACTTGCTGCCGGCTCAATCACCATTTCTTTTTCTTTCTTACTAGGTGCTTGCCTGGGTATCCTTTCAAGTGCCCCAAGCTGCAGATTACACCGGAGAAAGGGTTATCAGAAGCTGACGCTAATAAGCTTTTGTCTCTCCTCCATGATCAGGTCAAACTCTTGTGCTGCTGTTAACTTTGTGATCATATTTGTGTCAAGGCTGAAATTGTGGTTGCCCATGCTTTGACGCTTAAAAGTATTATAACCAAATTGGAGCAATGAAGCCTTGTGGTGCCAAAGTTTATAGAAAGGGCACAGGTCACCTAAAGGTAGAATAAATATATAAAAAACAAGCAATCTTTAAAATATTATCTGTAGGATTTCCAATGGAAATTGAGGTAAGAGTAGGGTTGAGGGTGGAGTTGTACGGCACTAGAATGCAGGATATTAAATTTAGTCTATTACTATCACTATGCGGGTTAATTTTGACTTTTCCTGTGTTACTTTTGTTTTTAGTTCCTAAAAGTCTCATTGTTTCTCTAGCTTACGATTAGGAAAGTAATCAAAAGAAAGTTATACAAGAGATATTAATAGTCTAGTCTGTGCATTGAATTTCAATTTAGAAATGAAGATAAAAGAGGGTAGATTACAAGCAATAGACAGTTGGTGTAGTTTAAAATGGTTGAGAGAGGGTTTTTCAGATAGTTGTGCAAGTAGTGTGTGAAATGCATTTCCAAAGGAGATAAGAGAGAGAATATCAAGAAAGACACCCACTCTCTAAATTGTGTTTTCTAATTAATGATATAAGAGTGGATTTTCCTGAAGTGGTTCAGTTAATCTCTTTCAATCACTTGGCTTCTGCCATCTTATTTTTCAGTTTAACTGGATACATCTTTGTGTCACATTTATGGCTTCTCTTTGATGATGAGTTCATTGATGTAGGGGATTTGCTACTTCTAACACGCAGAGAGGCTGGGAAACCTTGTCATATTATTGATCCCACCTCCTCCTTGGTTCCCTATGTTCCTTTTGGGTCTGTTTTCATGCTGTTGATGAATTTTGTTGCACCTCTAGTTGTATTTCTCCTTTTCTTTATCACACCACCCCATACATATCATAAAAGAATACATTTTTGTGACAGCTGCTATTCTCTCCCTTCATCTGTCATTTTCCTCTTCATTAGCCTCTAGGTTACTAACTTGAGAAGGAGCAAATTGTATTTATTTTTTATTTTCCACTTCGTTCTTGTCCTTTTCAGGCTACTTTAAATGCTAGGGAGGGACGAGTAATGATCTATAATTTGGTTGAGGCTGCTCAAGAATTTCTCTCTGGTATTGAGCTAATTGCCATATCAAATGATTCTGTGAGTTCACTATTTCATATTTTCTCTTTAGATATCATAACTATTATCATTATTATTGTTATTTGAAGCTATTTTATCATAATAAAAAATTTGGTTTTGTTTAATACTCTTGAAATAAGAGAGGCTTAGGCTGAGTCCCTAATGTTTATTAAGCACATAGGGTTATCTCTTTATATATAAGATTAATACAAAGATTAAGGAAATAAAAAAAATGATGTGGGCTTAAGCCTTTTACATTTAACATCCCCTCAAGCTGGTGCATATAAATCGTATGACTCAAACTAGTTACAAATGAAGAGCGATTTGATTATTACATATAAGAGTTATTTGAGCGACCTCTCCAAACTACAACTTTGTAAGTAATTGTTTAAGCCAAATGAGCTCACAAGTAGCTAAGGCCATAACTCTATTTTGCTTTCGTCCTAGATCTATCTACAACATTTTGTTTCTTACTTTTTCAAAATATCAAGTTGTCTCCATTGAATACAAGTGGATCTCCTATTCAGATAGAGAGTCTACCCAATTAGCATCTGAATAACATACAACCTTAGTGTGATTATTGAGTCCATATAACAAACATTTTCTAGGAGAATTTTTAATATACTTCAATATGTGGATGACAACATTTTAATGATCTGCATATAAAGGATTAAGAATCTGACTCACCACACTAACTGCAAAATAAATGTTAGAACGAATAACGGTAAGATAGTTCAACTTCCCAACTAATCTTCTATACCTTTTGAGATCTGAGGGTCGCTCCCACTGATTAGGTAGAAGCTTGACATTGGGCTTCATGGGTGTGTAAGTAGACTTTGATTTCATTAACCCAACTTCCTCCAAAATGCATACTTTATTTGAGAAATAATGATTTTATTGGTTGATTGTACTACCTCACTCCCCAAAAATACCTAAGTTTGTCAAGATCTTTGGTTTGAAAGTAGTGACAAGGTGTTGCTTCACCTGTGAGATGCCTTGGTAATAACTGCATGTAAGTACAATATTATCAACATATATTACTAGATAAATACATCCCACACTTGAGTAACGTTAGAATACTAAATAATCTACCTCACTACGAGTCTTACAAAATTGTAGAACAATAGTGCTAAATTTGCCAAATCAACCTTAGGAGATTGTTTGAGACCATATAAAGATTTGCAAAAATGACATACTAATCCAGAAGACTCCCCTTGAGCAATGAAACTTGGAGTTGTTCCATATAGATTTCTTTCTATAAATCATCATTAAGGAAAACATTTTTGACATCTAGTTGATAAAGAGACCAGCATTGAAGAGCAACCATGGCTATCAATAAGAGAACCAAGACCATCTTTGCAATTGGAGAAAATGTGCCCCCATAGTCCAACCCAAAAACTTGTGTATAACCTTTGACCACCATTTGGTGAATTTTGAGACGATCAATAGTACCATCAAAATCAACTTTGATAGCAAAAATCCACCTGCAGCCAACAACAAATTTCCCAAAGGATAAAGGAACAAGTTCCCATGTACCACTGTTCTGAAGAACACTTATTTCATCAAGCATGACCCAACGCCAACTAGAATGAGCTAAGACTTCACCTACAGATTTTGAAATTGACACAGTAGAAATAGAAGAGAGACAAGTTTAAAGTGATAGCAATAACCTATGATAACTCAAAGCAATATAATGAGGAGAGAGATTATGGGTAGAAGTTATATCTTTATAGAGGGTAATGAGAAGATCAAAATCAGTTGTTGGAGTCGGAAGAGATGGAAGGATTGACATAAGAAGAGAGTCATTTGTGGACGATGGGAATTCTGACGATGCTATACACTTGAAGAGGTGGGGGATCAATAGGTATACTAGACACAACTGGATGATTATAGACAATTGGGATAGTAACTTGATCATATGAAGAAGTAGTAGGAAGAAAATTAGACTTGCATTGCTTGTTTCAAAAGTTTTTCTCTAATATCATGATATGATGGGGGTTTGTAACCAACTCCATATCTTCCAATCATCTCACACATTTTTGCAAAAGCATGATTTCTAATAACATTGAATGGAATGACACTTGTGTAAAAAAATTCCGCCACTTGAGCATCAACTTTTTCTTTATCCCCTTTCTTATACAATTGATTTAAAGTAGATTGAACACCTTGACTGAATTTGTCCTTTCCTTTATTTTTGAACATCATACAACTACTACTTTGAGTGGTATCCACCTCTTGAATGTGCTCATCATCATACTCATCAATTATATTCCGTCTCCTTTTCTTTTCTGAAACATCTTTAGCCTCTGCCACAACTTTCATCATTACAACTTTCACTTCTTCTGGAACTGAGGCACATGGTTCAGAATCATATCTAGTACCAGCAAGATGATGTTTGAATTTGAAAACTCCTCCATTGATTATTTTTGAGCAATAATTACATTTAACTTTTTTTCCATTACCCGAAACATCTGTTCCGTCTCGGTCCGGTTTCCTAAAGCATTTTTACTTCTAGGTCTAGGAGGTCTAGGTAGTGAAGATACATTAACATTGGAATCACAAGAATTTGAAGCAGTCCCACTTCCAGACATTGCAAATCAGTCTCAATTAACTAAAAATAAAATAATTTATTAGGGTTGCAAGGGCTGAGCTGCGGGGGCGAAAACGCGACGCGATGACGCGGAGCTGCAGGGCGACGCGACCAGAACTCAACGCGCGACACCACTGCGGGGACGAGGGAGGTCAGATCTGGTTTTCATCTTCGATTTTCTCTTCTTCTTCGATTAGGGTTTTTGATTTGGGTTTCAATTGTTTAGGTTTTCGATTTGGGTGGTTAGGGCTTTTGTTTGGGTTTAAAATCGAAATGGTAACGACATTTTTGTTTGTCGTTTCGTCCTCCCTACGAACTCGGTGACTCGCTCTCAAACTCGCGAGTCTATTCTGAGTCAGCGAGTTTATTCTGAGTTCACTCCGAGTCAAACAAAAAACGAGTTTATATGCGAGTTAACCCGTAAAGAATAGCTTGACTCGCTGACTCGTACGGGTGTACGAGTCAACCCGCGAGTTCGATAACCATGCTTGGGTCATATCAACTCTGTACAAGGAGTGGCAGTAGACCCTGTCAAGGTAAAGAGTGTTCATGAGTGGCCAAGGTCAAAGAACGTGAAGGAGGTTAGGGGTTTCCTAAGCCTTACTGGCTATTATAGGAAGTTTATAAAAGATTATGGTAAGATTGCACGACCACTAACTGCATTAACAAAAATAGATGGCTTCAAATGGGATGCTCTGGCTCAACAAGCGTTTGATGATTTGAAGAAACGTGTGACGGAGGCACCGGTGTTGAGGTTGCCAAACTTTGAAGAGCAATTTGAATTAGAATGTGATGCTTCTGGAACAGGAATTGGAGCCATTTTGATGCAAAATCGCCGACCAATTGCATATTTCAGCAAGGCATTGGGTGAGAAGAATTTATCTAATCTGCCTATGAGAAAGAGTTGATGGCAGTTGTCCTTTCTATCCAACATTGGAGACCCTACCTGTTAGGAAGGAAATTTGTCGTGTTTTCAGACTAAAAAAGTCTAAAACAATTGTTGAGTCAAAGAATTTCAACAGGTAATCAACAAAACTGGCTGGCCAAGTTGATGGGGTATAATTTTGAAATAATTTACAAGCCTGGGAGGGAGAATAAGGGAGATGATGCCCTATCAAGAAGTAGAGAGGTGGCTGAATTAACTACTATGATTTATTATCCTAAATGGTTAGATTGACAACAATTGTCCCAGGAGGTACAACAAGATACTCATTGGAAAAAATTTATTTCTGATTTACAGCAGGATAAGGAGGCTCATACTGTTTTTTCTTTTAATCAAGGAGTACTACTTTACAAAGGGAGATTGGTGGTGCATGAACAGTCTCCTTGGATTCAGAAGTTATTGGAAGAATTTCACTCTACTCCTCAGGCTAGTCATTCTGGTTTTTATAGGACATGTAGAAGATTGACCTCCAATTTATTTTGGAAGGGCATGAAAGAAGATGTTAAACGGTTTGTGCAAGCTTGTGATATTTGCCAGCGTCAAAAGTATAATGCTAACTCGCCTGGAGGCTTGCTGCAACCTCTTCCTATACCAGAGCAAGTTTGGGAGGATATATCAATTGATTTTATCACAGGGCTGCCACGTTCAAAGAGCTATGAAGCTATTCTAGTTGTCGTAGATAGGTTGACTAAATATAGCCACTTTGTTCCATTGAAACATCCCTATACTGCCAAAGAAATTGCTGAGATTTTTGTAAAGGAAGTAGTGAGGCTTCACGGGGTTCCAAAATCTATTGTGAGTGATAGAGATCCCTTATTCATGAGTTTATTTTGGAAAGAATTTTTTAAACTGTAGGGAACACTGCTCAAGATGAGCACATCTTACCATCCACAAACGAATGGCCAAACTGAAGTTACAAATAGGTGTCTCGAAACCTATTTGCGTTGTTTCATCATTGACCAACCTCAAAATTGGTTTTTTTGGGTGTCATAGGCAGAATTTTGGTTCAACACAACTTACCATGAATCTATAGGTACTACTCCATTTGAGGCATTGTACAGACATGAGCCTCCAAAAATAATACAATGTATTCCCGGGGAAGTGAGGGTGGAGTCAACTTAGAGAGAATTGATTGATCGTGATGAAGCACTGAGACAGTTAAAAACACATTTTCTACGAGCCCAAGATCGCATGAAAACGCAGGCTGATAAGCATAGACAAGAAAGGGTGTTTGAAAATGGTGACATGGTATTTTTGAAACTCAAACAACATAGACAACATTCCGTAATGGCTAGAATTAGTCCTAAACTTAGTGCCCGCTATTATGGCCTGTTTAAAATTCTGGAAAAAATTGGAGAAGTGGCCTACAAGTTATAGCTCCCCTCCACTTCAAGGATCCATCCTGTGTTTCATGTGTCCTTGCTCAAGAAAGCAGTGGGGAATTATGAGGTAGCAGATGAACTACCTACGGGGCTAGAAGATGATAAAGGGGAATTCTTAGAGCCTGAAGCTGTTTTAGCCTCTAGACATATGCTCAAGCATGGCGAGCGACTAAAGCAATGGTTGATCCAATGGAAAGTGAAGCCCACTGAAGATGCAACATGGGAAGATGAAATTACAATCCGCAGCTAATTCCCTTTTCTATGTCTTGAGGACAAGACAAATGCTCAAGGGGGAGGTATTGATACAACCATTAGAGGGGAATTAAACAAGCCGTTAGTGCATGAAGGCAATCATGGAAGACGGGGGTGTGTTTACGTAAGGAAAAGGCATTAGAAGGGTGATGGAGTCATGATTGGTAGTTAAGGGGTATTTTGCCTTTTGTTATCCTTACGGTTATTTAGTATCAAAATGGGGAGAGAGGGAATGGGATTATTTTTTTGGTTATCACTCATTTAGGTAGAGGAGACTTCTCTTGAGAGGTGACTTCTCTTGAGAGGTGACTCTAAGGAGCTTAGCTCTGGGCAGATTGGGTACCCATTCCCATCTGTTTTTTTCTTGATCTTTTATCTTTTTTTTAGTTCAATCAAGGTCCCTGTTTCATTTAGTTTTCATTTTATATATATTATACTCTGTTTTTTTGGGGTTGCATCATAATACAATAAAGGCAACGAATGAGACGAATAATGAATAATAAATTAAATGGAGACTTAGAGACATAAAGGACATTGTCAATAGATAGAGAAGGAAAAAGATAAATGGTACTAACACCATGTGAGGTGAACTTAGAGGCATTCGCCATGGTAATAGAATGTAACTAACTCAAGGGCTAAGAGAGTTGGAGTTGGTGAGGCCAATAAATAATGTACTTGTGTGTGCAACAGAAGCGGTGAAACTAAAGTTCTGACGATCCTTATACCATTTGAGAATTTCATTGAAGTTAGCAGACTATTCTGAAGGATAAGAGGTAGTAACAGCAGAAGCAGCTATGAATATTTATAGAGAGAGAAACTAATTACTAAAAGAGAGAAACAACCCTAATGAAAATATTTTAACGAGCTCCGATTATTGTGATTCTTGCGACGTAGTGGTTGCCTGGTCGAGATGAACCCCAAGGTGGTGTCACCAGTCCAAACAACGGTGATGGGTGCGACAAGGGAATCAGAAGGGAAAGTACTAGTGAACAATGGGTTCACCATGAAGACAAGGATTAAACCTAACTCTAGATACTATGTTGAAATAAGAGAGACATAAGCTGAATCCCTATTTTGTATTAAACATATAGGGTTATCTCTTTATATATAAGATAAATATAAAGATTAAGGAAATAAATAAATGATGTGGGTCGTTGATTCTCCGGCAAGCAAACCAAAATCAACTATAGTATAATAGTTTAAAGTAGAATGTCGAACCCATGAGGAACGGTTTTACTCAAACTGCTTAGTTTCAAACTCACTAAGCACTTTGTACAAGTAAAGAATGATCTTGATTGTTGATAATGAAATAATATTGTATAGCATTTAAAATAAAAGAATAATTTTTATGAAAGATATTCAATGAAGGAAAACTAGGATTGAATTTCATCTGTCTCCCTCTGATGCACTCTTATTTGATAAATTACAGAACATAATAGCTAGAACAATTGATATTGATGCAACAAACCAAGTCATTTATAATGATTCCTCAAATATAAAACTCATAAGAAAGATCTATTGCGAGTTGATTTCTCAAACAATGAACAGATCATCCAACATTCTAATTAGATGTTGAAAAATAATTGATATATTGAAATCTATTCCTAGTATCTCAATAGATCAAGTATTTTCATACAAGTTAGTCTTTTAGAAACAGTCCCCAGTTGAATCTAAGAAACATAATTAAGAAACTGCAGAGAATCAAGCTTAAAGAACAGAATGAAAATACCAACATCAATTAGAAAAGATATTACTCTATAAATATATCATCAGAATACATTAGAGTTTGAACAGATTACATTCAATCCCAAAGTAAGGAGTTAGCCATACATGGTAGCCATTACAGCACAAAAGATCTCAAAAGAAAAGCAAGAAGCGGTTCCCCAACTTGATGACACTTCTTTCCGAGTCTGGTTCTCTTTTCTTTTTCTATTCTCACTTCCCTCCTCTTTTTCGTCTCAATTTTTCTATTTATATCCAGAGGATCTCGCAACATTTAATTTCATCTGCTCAATGCTCCTTAGTTCGCTCAGCGGAATGAGGTTTCTTCACCTTGAAGGCTTCAATTCACTCAGCGGATTGCCATCCGCTAAGCGCTTTTACCACTTTAAAAGGGTTTCTTCTCTGGTGCGAATCCGCTGAGCGGATCCAGAACTGCTGAGCGGATTTTAGTCCTCTTGGAACTAGGCTTTTCTACCCCAAATTCACTCAATGGATGAAAATCCGCTCAGCACTTTCCACCCAGTGTTGCAATCCTCTGATTTTTACCTGCATTTTGACAAAGGTTGCGTTAGGTTGATTGTTTTATCTTCAAAACTCTAAATGTAAATAAATAGATGTTTCTATGGGGTTTTACCACTGATTTCTTCATAATTATACAAGATAAGTGTCATAACTAAGTATAAAAACATGAATATCTGACACTTATCATGGGCCTAAGCCCTTTACATTTAATAAATACAAAAATAAGTTTGATGAAGCCTGTTGATGTCCTTTAATTTCAATGTTAGCCTAGATCTTTTCTGACTTTATTGTTGCTAAATGTTTGATTGGAATTTGTTTATAATTGTTGATATTTTAATTATGTTTGCATGTACCTTTTGATGATTTCTCTAAAAACAAGGTATTTTGCTGTTTAAACTGATGGTAGTATGTTTTTGTCCTCCATCTGTAGAAGCTTTTACACTCGACTGTGGAAAGCAATGAAGAATTGTTTACCAAGGATATGACATCTTTAAGTAAGAAGGGTTCTTTTGTATATGGTTTTGTAGACCTTTTCAGTGGCTATGGAGAAACATGGGGTTGGGGTTTTGGAATGGACGAAACTGCTGGAAAAAGTTCATCTCTTCCTTTGTCCAAGTTAGATGCCTCAAAACCATGTTTTGAGGCTTGTGAGAAGAAGTCTAATACTAAAGAAACACAGTTAATGGTGCAAGAACTTCGTTCCAAACTAGATACTGTCGGAGAAGTTAGTGAAGACAACAAAAATAATTTATCTTTGACTAATTCAAGCAGATCTACAGTGGAGGATTTTGTAGGGAATGACAATGAAGGTGAGAAAGAGGTAATATATGATTTTCTTATTGTAAGTTCTGTGTACTGCTTGTTTAAGTCTATTGTTTTCTTTTGTTTCCATGTCTATTACATTTGTTGAATATAGGGAAAAACTGTATAGGGTTAATTTCCCTTGTGTATTTACCACACATAGGGCAGTGTATTTATAATAAAGAAAGGTACTCCTCAAAAGAGTAACAGAATACAAATAGGGTAAATAAAAGATATTATTTGATATTGTGATTAACAATATCTAACAATATCTCAACAATATCAAATAATATCAACTAATATCTAATCATATTTAACACTCCCCCTCAAGCTGGAGCATACAAATCGTATGTGCCTAGCTTGGTACAAAGATAATCCATCCTAGGTCCCCGTAAAGACTTAGTGAAAATATCTCGCTAATTGATCACATGAGTTAACGAACTCGGTCTTGATGTCTCCAGACATAATCTTTTCTCGAATAAAATGGCGAGTCAATCTCAATGTGTTTAGTCCTCTCATGAAAGACAGGATTAGAGCTTATATGGAGAGCGGCTGATTGTCACACACTAGTGTCATTTGAGTGACATCTCCAAATTGTAGCTCTTTAAGCAATTGCTTGAGCCAAATAAGTTCACAGGTAGCCGAGGCCATAGCTCTATACTCGCTTCCGCACTGGATCTTGCCACAACACTTTGTTTCTTACTTTTCCATGAGATCAAGTTACCACCAATGGAAACACAATACCCGGATGTAGATCTTCTATCGGAGGGAGATCCTGCCCAATCGACATCCGAATAGCGAGACAACTCTTGTATGATTATGGGAGTCATACACCAAACCTTTTCCAGGAGACTTTTTGATGTACTTCAATATACGGATGACTCGCATTCCAATGATCTTGACAAGGAGAATTGAGGAATTGACTCACCACACTCGACTGCAAAGGAAATGTCGAGGCGAGTAACTGTAAGATAATTTAATTTTCCAACTAATCTTCTATACTCGTTCAGGATCCGACATTGGCTCCCCCGATTTGGCAAGAGTTTGGTATTAGGATCCATGGGTGTGTCAACGAGCTTTGAATTCATCAACCCAGTTTCCTCCAAAATATCCAATGCATACTTTCTTTGAGATATAACAATGCCATCGGTAGATTGTGCTACCTCAATACCCAAGAAATATCCGAGTTTGCCAAGATCTTTGGTTTGAAAATGGTGGCAAAGGTGTTGTTTCATCCGAGAGATGCCATGATGGTCACTACACTGTAAGAACAATGTCATCGACATACACTATCAAATAGATACATCCAAGCATTCGAGTGACTGGTAAAAGACCGAGTGGTCTCGCCTCACTTCTAGTCATGCCAAATTGTTGAACAACGTCGCTAAATTTGCCAAACCAGGCCCTAGGAGACCGTTTTAGGCCATATAAAGATTTGCGAAGATGACATACTAATCCAGAAGACTCCCCCGAGCAACAAATCCGGAGGTTGCTCCATATAAATCTCTTCTTGCAAATCGCCATTCAAGAAAACATTTTTGACATCCGAGTTGATAAAGAGGCCATTGTTGAATAGCGGCCATGGCAATGAATAAACGAACGAAGCCATCTTTGCCACTCGGAGAGAAAGTATCACCATAATCCAATCCAAAAATTTGGGTATAGCCTTTGGCTACAAGGCGAGCTTTGAGGCGATCAATAGTACCATCGGGACCAACCTTGATAGCGAAGACCCACTTGCAACCAACAACAGATTTTCCGAGATGGTAATGGGACAAGCGTCCGGGTTCCACTAGTCCGAAGAGCACCGAGTTCATCTAGCATGGCCTCGACGCCAACCAGGGTGGGCTAAGGCTTCGAGACGCAGTTTAGGAATAGACACGGAAGAAATAGACGAGAGACATGTATAAAATGGTGAAGAAATTCGATGATAACTAATAGCGAGTATAATGTGGAGAAGGATTACGAGTAGAACGCGTACCTTTACGAAGGGCAATAGGAAGGTCGGACTCGTGGACTGGAACCGGAAGAGGCGAGTATTTGGCACCGGGAGTGAGTCATGTGGCGTCTGTTGTGGGCGAGGTCTGCGACTATAAACCCGAAGGGGTGGTGGAGGAGGAGGGGCTAATGGTGGATGGTCCTCAATATAAGGATCAATGAGAACAGGAATGGGAACTGTAGCGAGATGGAGACTCAGCAGGTAGGGAAGGGTCCTTAAAGTAAAAGGAAAACTCATTGAAGGTGACATCGGCAGACACAAAATAACGATTAAGAGAAGGAGAAAAACACTTGTATCCTTTTTGGGATCGAGTAAATCCTAAGAAAACACATTTGTGTGATCGAGGAGATAACTTATCATGACCAGGATCAAAATTGTGGACAAAACAGGTAGACCCAAAAACCTTCGAGAGGTAAAGGATGGAGAGTGTCATGAGGAAATAAAATAGAATGGGGAATTTTGTTATCTAAAACCGAAGAGGGCATACGATTAATAAGATAACAGAGCGAAGAAACAAGCATCACCCCAAAAATGTTGAGGAACCGCACCATGAATTAAAAGAGTACGGGTTGTTTCAATAAGGTGTCTATTCTTGCGCTCGACCACCCCATTTTGTTGAGGGTATAAGCACAGGAAGTTTGATGAAGAATGCCATGAGAAGCCATAAATTGTTTAAACGAGTTTGAAAGATATTCACGGCCATTATCACTTCGAAAAGTTTGAATAGAGACACCAAATTGATTTTTAATTTCATGATAAAAGTTTTGGAATATAGAAAACACCTCGAACGATTTTTCATTAAAAATAACCAAGTACAACGAGAGAAATCATCAATGAAAGTAACAAAATATTGAAAACCTAAATTAGACTTAACACGACTCGGGTCCCCAAATGTCGAGTGAACTAAGGCAAAGGGGGATGAAGCACGCTGGGAAACACTACGAGAAAAGGAAGTACGACTATGTTTGCCTAATTGACAGGACTCACACACCAAACTGGACAACTGGGATAAGCTGGGAACAAGTTGCTGTAATTTGCGCAGACCGGGGTGACCAAGCCGAGCATGAAGGAGAGAAGGAGACTCCATAAGCTGTGCCAACATGTGGAGAAGGTTGAAGATAATAAAGTCCATGTGACTCACATCCGGTGCCAATCACTTTTTGCGAGCTTCGGTCCGTAAGGAAACAGAAGTTTTGGTAAAAGAGATAACACAATCAAGAGATCGAGTTAGACTGGCTAATGGATAATAAGTTAAAGGGGGACCCGGGTACATACAAAACATTATCAATGGACAACGAGGGAAAAAGAGTAACCGTTCCAACACCATGAGCTAAAGTTGTAGACCCATTAGCCATTGTAACGAGAGGGTAAATTATGAGAAGAAGTGAAAGAGGAAAATAAGGATTTGTTACCGGTGATGTGATCGGTGGCGCTCGAGTCAAGAACCCAAGAGCCAATAGAAGAAGAGTGAGTCGGACCAAGCAAAAGATGTACTCGTGTGGGCAACGAAGTAGTGGAACTGGAGGGTTTTCGATCCTCATACCATTGAAGAAAATCATTGAAGATAGCAGATTTGTCCGAAGGTACGGACGAAGGAGGATCCACAAGCAGAGGATTGTGCGGAAGAATCGGTCCCGAGCAAGCTGCGACGAGATCGGCGGGGATAACCATGTAAAGCATAACATTTGTCAATTTTGTGGCCTAGTTTGCCACAATGGTCACACTTGACACGCCCTTTGCCCGGCTTGTGAGAGCGATTACGATCATCACGGTGAGAGGCCAAGGCGAGATGAATCATTAAAACGCAGTTGCTCGGACCCACCGGAGCCGACGGAGGTAACTTCGAGTGGAAGTGGCGGCGGAAGATGCCATGGAGGAAGAGAGAGAAAAACCCTAAAACACCAAAGAGGTCCGATTGGAGCAGCGAGGACAGATCCGAGAGAGAGGAGAAGGAGGCGACGCCGACGCAAAGAGCGGCGGCCTGAACGGCGGCGAGACGCGCCGCCACGCGCGGCGGAACGGGAGAAGGTGGCGCGGCTTCGGGAGGCGCGTGAGGGAGCGTGGCTGCTCCGATGACCGCGAAACTTCCACGGTGGAGGTCGCACGGAGGAGGCGAGCAAAACCCTGTGCTCGGCGGTCCAAACTGCTACTCCGGCGACGGCGGACGGCGGTGGCGGCGGCGGCGGCGGCGGTGATGGAGGCGGCGACAGCTGCAGGTTCAGTGGCAGAGCCGAAAAAAATCCCAAGAGACCTTAAGCTCTTGATACCATGTTAAGGTTCCAACATAAAACCAATTGGTAATATGTGGAGTAGCCTAACATGTATTTAAACCATACCAAATGATATGAGGTAGGCGATGTGGGACTTTCAACACACCCCCTCCAACGAAGCCTGCCGGACCAGGCAAGGGCAACTTTTGGCCCATGACAATAACCGGAAAGATGTTAGGCTTTGGCTCTGATACCATGTTGAATATAGGGAAAAACTGTATAGGGTTAATTTCCCTTGTGTATTTACCACACATAGGGCAGTGTATTTATAATAAAGAAAGGTACTCCTCAAAAGAGTAACAGAATACAAATAGGGTAAATAAAAGATATTATTTGATATTGTGATTAACAATATCTAACAATATCTCAACAATATCAAATAATATCAACTAATATCTAATCATATCTAACAACATTAATTTCTTGACTATGGTAGGGCAATATTTTAGATGCATTCCATTGTTAAGGTTATTATCTTTAGCAGGCCAAAATAGTGTTTCTAAATCTCAAAATTGATGACTGCTTAATGTTTTTTAAGATTTTGTTCCCTATTCACCTCCTGAAAGAAAGAATGGTTATGAAATGGTCATTGATTTTAAAGGGATGTTAAAGTTGAGCGATTTAAGTGGGTGGTATTCTTGTACATCCCAGTGATGTGAAATTCCTGAAAGTTTAATACACTAGACTTCTGAATATTAACTTGGTACTGGGAGATGACAACTGCAGATTAAGTAAATTAGAGGTATCAACCTTTTTGCTGGATGGATATGTGATAACTTCTACAGAATAGTTTATGCATAAACTAATTATGCAGATTTTTCAATTTCATTTTTTTCATCATATTTTTCTCACCTAGAAGTCCTTATGGAGAAGCTTGTCCAAACAGGTCCTGAGAAGAATTTAGAACTCAAATTTGTCAATAGACATTGTTTGTGACAAAACATTATGGTTTCATTGGACATGTGGTTGATCCACCTAGTGGGAAAAGGATTTGTTGTTGTTGAATTTGTGACTTCGATGTTCAAAATCATTGCACAATATTCGAGCTAAAAAAGGAAAAAATGGTAATTTTATTGGTAAACAAAAGTTAATTATCGTATGTCTGCATATGTCATCTATATCTGGCTTTGTGTGGACCTATTCACATTGGTCTTCATAATAAAAGCCTTACCTAGATTGTCTTTTTCATCCAGACCCTATCTAAATTGATAACTTCAGTTTCTTACTATATAGTCACACGATAGGTCCAGGTTTGTTCTAATTTACTTAGTAAAGATAACTCAAGAAAGATGTTTATGATGAAATTCTTTGAATTAATGCACTGTGCCTCCTTTCTTTGGGTGGAGGGAAAAGGGTTAATGTTTAACTGAAATATATAAATTATGTTATTGTTATGCTTTTCTTGGTATCATTGTAATTAGTTTGCGTCTGTTGAGACATTTGTTTGTGTCAAATCCTTTATTTTCTATCTTTGCACCTGCAGTATTTTTTAGTTGACGAGTCTTCTGAAGAAATTGAGTCTTCTGAGTCTCTGCCTTCGGAGTCCTTGCCTCATCTTCAACCATCTCAAACAGTGGAAAAGGATTTAATAATGGTAAAATTATAATTATTGTTATCAGATTCATTGCACTTTAGAATTCTGCTCAGCATTGATATGGGTTTCTTCTTTGTTGTATTAGGTTCACATGCTTCGCCTTCTTTGTGCTTCTAAGGGATCATTGGCTGATTGTTTGCCACAAGTGGTAACAGAGCTGTACAATTTAGGGGTACAAAAGAGATCTCCACTTTACCAAAATAAAAAAATATTATTACTTTAATTTCTAAATAATGTGTGTCCTGCAGTTACCCTAATCCTTGAGTTATATTACCAGATAATTTCTGATTCAGCACGCAGTATGGCATCCGAACCACCTTCCATTTTCAGCAAAACCTTTGATCACATTTTCCAGAAACACCTGGTTGGAAAACCACAGGGACATGCTTACTATTTCTCACCACTGAATTTATTGTTACTTATTTCATTTATATATTTATTGTCTAGGCCTCATCTGGAATACCTCAATTTTGGAAGCCTGATGTTGGAGGCTCAAACACAGTTACCCACAGTTCTCGATATTTGAATGATTTTGAGGAGCTGCGCCCTCTAGGTAAAGGAACTTCATGAATTTCTATGTTAAGTTTTATGTATGTATAATTCTGTGATCATACGCCTAGATGTATGTCATGATCGTTAGTTGAGTATTGTATTTTTATTTGTTTTTTGATGAAGTTGATTGCCTGTGCTTTTGTGTTTCTTGAAAATGATAAAAGGAGTGATTATAGTTATAGCTTTGGAAACAATAGAAATTTATGATTTAAAAAATTGTCCAATTCTTTTTTTACTGTTAGGCGAGAGTTTGAGCTGCAATTTCCAGAGTGCTTTTGTGTATCCCCCTGGAAACAGATAATTTTAATCTATTAGCTGCTTCTTTGAAAATAGTTCTCTATTCTTTTATGACTATTGGATGAGTTGTATGTTGTACAGTGGTTAATTAGGTTTTTTCCATTTTGACTTAATTTCATTTTTGGTCCCGCAACTATCAGTAATGTGTGAGTATGTGACTCCCATAATAAGCTTAAATTTAATCATCTAATTTTTTTAAATTGTTACAATCGAATTCTCCAATAATTATTATTATTATTATATATATATATATATATTTTTTTTTTTTAACTCTGAAATATTTATTTTGTTAATCAAATAATTAGGGGTTTAGGACACATATAGGACAAAAAATATTATGAAAAGTTCATATGCCAGAAATCTGTAGGATGTGAATTTAGGTTGTGAAGAGGGAAAAATTTAGAATTTGCTTATTTTGGCCAAAATATGATGTCTTGTTGCTGGATTTTCAGCAAAATTTGAAGCGATGTAAATGATTCAATTCATAGAGATTTTGAAAAGAAAATGAAATTTGAGTTCTATTTTATGAAGAGAAAACTGATGGATGGTTTTAATTCAATAATTAACTAAAAAATTATTGGGGGACCAAAATTGCACATTGGTCATAATAAAGGAACTACAGTGCAATTATTATTTTTTCTGTATTAAAAGTTTTCTTGGATTTTGAAACAGGTCATGGTGGTTTTGGTCATGTCGTATTGTGCAAAAATAAACTTGATGGAAGGCAGTATGCAGTAAAGAAAATTCGTCTTAAGGACAAAAGCATGCCTGACCGAATATTAAGGTAATCTTAAGAAGCTCGGAAGGAGCTAGTTACATCCTTGGCAACACTAACTGTGACTCTCGCCGGTCCTTAATATAGTTTAGAAAAACACTAATGATAAGGCATTATATATTTTCTATGAAGCAATTAAATTCTTTTCCTGGTTTGCCTTGTGCCTATATTAAATAGTATGAATGTGTTTTTTTATTAATAAATAATGAGAAAAGAATTTTAAAAGTCATTAATAATGAAGGCAAATTTCGTACATTGGTAATATATTGTTTTAAAAATTCAACAAAATAAACTACATTAGTTATTTTTATTGGTCTGTGACTATGTTAAAAGTGCCTTATATTAAGAACCGGAGGGAGTTTTTTAATTTGTAATTTTGTCACTAACAACGACAGTTCGGTGCATGATTATTATAGTAAATTACGTTGTATAATACTGGAAAATTTTATGCAATTTTGTTTTTGCATATCCCCATTTTCTTTTAACAAAGTGGGTTCTTTATATGCCCTTTCTAATTCAACTCCGGCATGCTAAACTATATGATTAAATATTGAGGTTATGGAACAACATTTCGATGTGGTGAGCATATATTTGTTGATGAAACTTAATCCTTTTTGGAAGTCCGGGATTGGTTTTGTTCTTTGACTTAAAATAAGCTGTATGTATCCTATGGGTATTGGTAAGTCTGATTAAAAGCTTGATAATCTAATAAAAATATTAATTGTTGTGGTATTTGATTATGTCCTGGTACTAATCTTGTTAACTTGTCAACATTTTTTCTCCTTTTTTAAAGTTCCTTAATGTGTTGTAGTATGTGTGTTAGGTAGAGCTATCTAGCTTCAACTGTTCTTTTGGTGGCTCTTTCTTTGGGCACAATTCTGCATTTCATCTACCTGTCCCAGTGTCTGAAGGACATCTATGATCTCATTGTCACTCCAATTTCTTTTTTATCTTTAAGTTACTTTGAAGTCGAGGATAAAATTAAGAACTTCAAATAAAAAATAAAAGTTGTTTGTTAAATTTTAAATTTTAAAATTGTTTTTAAATTAACAGCAGTAGTTTAATTTTTTTTTTTAAGTTTTACTTTTATTTAAAACTAATTATCTTGTCAAATGATAAAGGATATTTATAAAATATGCTTCTAAATTTAATTTAATTTTCATAATATCATCTTAAAATACAAATATTTAAATATATATATTTTTTAAACTGTTAACAATAATTTAATTAATACTTTTTTAATAATGATGCACAAAACGTTTTTATAGCACTTTCAAGTATTCTTTATATTTGTATATATAGCGAATGTATTCTTTAGAGATTATCTTGCATTCTTCATGTTCTTCATATACAAAATATTCTACTGCATGTACTTTGATACTACCGCTCACAATTAAAAACAATTTGAGACAAATAAAATTTCCTTAATAATAAAAAGTTAACGTATGAGAATCAAACAGTGCCTTATGTGAAAAGCTGCAAACAAGCTAAATATAATCTGGTCCTGGTAACTTAATAAAAATGTTTCTTATTTATATGATTTGTTCTTTATAGAAATGATGTTTGACCCAGCTTCTCCTTTTAAGAAGTAAAGCTAGACATAAGCTGGGCCAAACACTACTCAAGTATACTTACATTCATTTTTCCTTGGGTCTTATTTATAATGTTGATTACTGCTGAACCTTTATTCCTTCAATTCTGTTCTCAAAAATTAATTAAGCCATGACTTAGCTGCATTAACTAGTTTGTCTTGTGCGTTAAACTATAGTAAAGGAATCAAGATAGGATTTATTTGATGTATAGATCATAGAGCCAGAAGAAGTATATATAACAGTCAAACAGAAGAAGCAGGCAGATTCGGTTAAATAGAGAATGAAAAAAAAGATGTTTTGGCCATATTTACATCATTGATGGTATTGTTTCACTGCATAAAATTAAAATGACTAGGACAGGACAATTGAAGAGAGCAAGGGACAAGCTAATATGAGTTGCAATTTACTAATATTTTTGCTGGCATCCATTTTGATATTCCATATCTTTGCAATTATTTTCTGGGTCCATTTGATTTCTTCATGGAGTTAAGCCAAGTTCAATTATCTTTTTTACTGTATTGTGTCATGTTTTAATACTATAAGTTTTCCTTAATGTTGGCCTCCATGTCTAACTTTTTTTTCTTATTTGTCTTGGAAAAGAATGATGTCATTACTTGATTGCTGTCTGTTTTCTCCATTCTCCTCATCTTTTTATTTTGTTTTCCTGAAGAATATTTTGTTTCCATTTCTACGTGTTCTATTGTGAGAAAATCAGGGAGGTAGCTACACTTTCTCGTTTACAGCATCAGCATGTTGTTCGGTATTATCAGGTAGAACTTTCCTATTTTGTGCACCATTTCGCTTATTTTGAAACTTTTTTTGGTTTCTTGTATTAATTTATTGTTTCTTTTGTTTCTGTATTAACTGTATATTTTGATGTTGACCATCCCACCCTGGTCTTTTCGATATAGTAACTTGTTGTGGATACTGCCTTAATTATATTCCAAGAGGGACAGTTTCTGATAGAGTCAATGAGTAGAGATACAAATATAAGCTTTCCTTTATCCATTTCCACTATATTTGTGCTTATATGATGCTTGTAATAATCATACAACTTCCAGGCATGGTTTGAAACTGAAGTTTCTGATTCTTATGGTGATTCTGCTTGGGGTTCAAAGACTACAGTAAGCTCTACTTTCAGCTTTAAAGCTGCAACGTCCAATGATGTCTTTGGGCATGATAATCAGCTTGAATCAACTTACCTTTATATACAAATGGAGTACTGTCCCAGGTAAGATTTTCAGCGAGTTCTGTTTTTTGCAGTCAGATTTATATATGGAACCATACTTTCTTCTATACAAATAAGCGAGTTGAAAACCCATCCTTCGTCCATGTTTCAAGTCCAATGCTCCCCCCAACCCCCAATATGGTAAGGAAAGATTGTTTAGAATCGTAGAATTACTCCTGTTCCTTTGTGCAGCAATTTAGGATTTTAAGTCAAGTGATTCTTTGATTAATGTTACCTAGTTGACTCTGTAGAAATGATACAATGATATATTGAACAGCCTTTTAGTGTGGCTGATTAGTCTTGAGAGTTGTATTTGCAAATTTCAATTTCAAAAATAGACATTTCATTCATATTGAATGATACATCAATAGTTGAGTGTGAGCTATATATATGAGAACCTAACACAGAAAAGGAAAAACGAAAGAAATGAATTAAAGGTTAAATCCCATGATCCGTGAAATGTTCTAACTGACAAAGGAATAAAATGAAATGGTCCTACTTTGTCTTCAGAGGGATATAGTCTGTATCTGTTATGAATGTTTTCTTAAAATCTTTGATTGACAAGCATGGTTTTCTACAGAAAATTAATAACAAGTAAAATTAAAGTCTCTAGACAATCTTACTGTCACAAATTCTCTGCCTAAAGTGTTATTGAGTCTACAATGTCTTTTTTTTCTCTCTACCAATTTGGTTCTGTAACTATTCATTTTTGTAATGGAAATTATTAGCAACAAACAAATAGGAAGGAATGGGAGTAGATAATAGAGACCATATGTACTTTCCAAATTCATTTGAATCTGTATTATATGCAAAAACAAAATATCGCAAGGACAGTCATTAATATTCCATACGTTGTACTCACTACATTTCATTCCTTTTCTTTTGTGGGTGGGTTTGTTGGGTTTAAAGGACTCTTCACCAGGTGTTTGAGTCATATAATAATCATTTCGACAAAGACCTGGCTTGGCATTTGTTTCGTCAAATAGTGGAAGGCTTGGCGCACATACACGGACAAGGAATAATTCATCGGGACTTAACACCAAATAACATATTCTTTGATGCCCGCAATGATATTAAAATTGGTGATTTTGGTCTTGGTAAGATCCTGAATACATTACATGTTTGTCTTCCTTCTCTTTATGTATATTTCTAATATTCACTCTATCTTGCTTATGGTAACAATGGATAACTTCAATGTGATGAATGGGGCTTATGAATTTATCAGAACTTTTGATAGGCCTCAATATACATCGACTATTATGAGTTCTGGTTTTAGTTTGCATGCACAAAGTTTGTTTATCAAAGTTGCATTTCTATTTGTGTGTTTAGGATCAATAGTAAATACCTGCACATATATTCAAATTTTTTCCTGGATTGTTATTCCACCTATTTACACAGTAGCAACCAACCTTTCTCCAGGTAGAAATACGCTAGGCCAGATCATACTTTTTATGTCTGACCTTAGCTGAAGAAATAAAGTCCAAGTATGACTTATTTACCTGCATGAAAGTCTGACCTTTAAAAAGGAGACCAGCATAAAATTCTAGTCTGGCCTGCAAGTCTATTCAAAATATATGATATAAAACCTTTAAAAGGCCAGTTGGTTTATTGTATTATTGGCCTAAATAAGTTTATTGGTAATTTTTATTATATTATTATGTAATATATGTATTATGTGTGTGTGTGTGTATATATATATATATATTATGTAGATGTATATTTATTTAAAAGCCTATTTTGTAGTAAGGTCCTTATACAAAATGTAAATATACCTTTTTATGATCTTACAAGTTCGATTTTTGAAGTGAGTCAACATGTTTAATGGTTTCTATTTTCCCCTTTTTCCAGCCAAGTTCTTGAAGTTAGAGCATCTGGACCAAGACCTGGGCCACACTGCTGATGCAACTGGAGTTTCCATTGATGGCACTGGACAAGTGGGGACATATTTCTATACAGCTCCTGAAATTGAGCAAGGATGGCCCAAGATTGATGAAAAGGTGTATAGAAGTCATCGTTATTTTTTTCTAACCAGTTAGTTCATAGTTGTTCACATCCTATGCATTTGTATAATCTGTTGCTTTATGCCAAATCGTGTAATTCTTGAGTTTATTTGGGTTATAGGCTGATATGTACAGCTTAGGAGTGGTCTTCTTTGAGCTTTGGCACCCATTTGGAACAGCAATGGAGAGACATGTTGTTTTATCTGATTTGAAACAGAAAGGGGAAGTTCCACCAACTTGGGTTGCTGAGTTTCCAGAACAGGAATCCTTACTGCAGCAGTTAATGTCTCCGGCTCCTTCAGATCGCCCTTCTGCCATAGAACTTCTGCAAAATGCATTTCCTCAGCGAATGGAGTCTGCATTATTGGATGGCAAGTGATTATGACCTTTTTGTGCATTCTGATAAAGAACCTACATAGTGCATTGTTATCTGTCAAAACTAATTTGTTGCCTTATCCTATTAGGTGAGGTTAGCTATATATAATACAAGATTTTGTTATAGCTTATTTCTTTTAAGAATATGAAACATTTTGAGTGTCTAGGAGTACAAATATAGAAACAATATGATGATCTTGGTATGTACAGTTAATAATGCAAATTGAAACGAGACTATTGGGACAGACTGCTGACATCTAAGAATTACATGCTGCTTTGGCGTTTTTTTTTTTTTTATTTCTTGCATTATCCTGAACAACTGTTAGTTCTCTATGTTCAGATATCCTTAGAACAATGCAGAAATCAGAGGATACAAGCATATATGATAAAGTTTTAAATGCTATCTTTGATGAAGAGATGTTAAGCACAAAGCACATTCGTCAGGATGGTAGATTGGGATCAGTTGGAGATATCAGTTCATCCATTCAGTATGCAGCATTCAAAACTGAGGTTAGGGATTATGTTGTAGATGTGACCAGGGAAATTTTTAGACAGCATTGTGCAAAGCACCTAGAAATATCAACAATGAGATTATTGGATGATTGTCCACAGTTTAATAGGTCAATATCTTTTTAATTTCTTTTCTACCTCATGAGAATTGTTTATGGACTTGAAAGCCTAGATATAACATCTCTGGTTTTTCTTTTTTATTGAGTAGACATGCAGTTAAACTTCTGACCCATGGAGGAGACATGCTTGAACTTTGCCACGAGTTGCGTTTTCCTTTTGTGAACTGGATTATATCTAACCAGGTACTGGATGTTTTAGCTTAGTTTTATTTCTTTCCTTTTTCTCCAACTATACTTCATTATGTTAAAGTCTGGCAATTGCATTGCATTAAAAAATGGTCAATATCGTAATAATTGGTATACCATTGAAGGAAGGAGCTTTTGGTTGTGTTGTAATGTTGGATTTGTGGATTTAAACTTTCACTTGTGTATAGTTATTTGACTACTTTTCTAATATGCTTTTAATAGATGAAAATAATGTGCTTTGTAATATTAGATTTATATATATATATATATACATCGCATTTCAAGCAGAAACATAAGGCATTTGGGAAATAGATATTAAGACTCACTTCAAAATTATTTTGCGTCATAAAATTGTTTAATGAACTATAATAGTAGGTAAGATGGCATTATTGGATAGATGTGGTAATGTAAAATAATGGTCATAGAACTATACTGGGTCTTCTATATAATGTGCCTTTGGGTTTGTAAGTCTAATAATTGTGATGTGTTCGGGAAAAACACCAATCTAGTGCATTTTTTTCTTAATTTACCAAAATGGATAAATTAAAAAAAACTTAGGATTTCGTTAAGTCATATTTTCAAGCATGACTTCATTTCTTTTATTTGTTTTTTTAACTTTTATTCAAATGTTGTGTTATGTAACAATTGTTATTTATTTATTATTTTTTTAATTTAATTTTTTTATAAAATAAAAAATTGTATTACATAACACAAATTGGACATGAGAATTTTTCCAATGCCACCATTAGTCATCCAATTCCATGTTTTCTTACATTCTCACGGTGCACTCTTGCTTTCTCTCTCTTACAAGCTGAAGCACACACACACACCCTCTTCAACCACTTCTCTTGATTCTTCCCTTTTTCAACTCCACATGGGCCATTAATTGCGTCTTCAACGACTTCAACCCCTCTAAAGTGTAGCTCTTTGGCAACGTCATCATTGATTTTCAAATTCTAACACACCCATCAACAAACTTTCTCCATCGGTTGTGCCTTATACAATGAAAAAAATTCCCACCAAGAAACCAAACTCTTATTTCTCCACCTCCTTCATCTTTGCCATGGCACCTTATGAAGACACTCTTCCTGAGCATGACTTGGTTTCATCTTTACACCCGTCACGAGCATCCAAGGCACAAGTTCTGCACAACACCTTGGTCTGTTCAACCTCACCAACAACAGAAACTCAAGCAAGCACATGCTTGGTGTTGAGTTTGGTGTTTTCATGAACCAAGGGTTTGATGATATCACGCCACAAGTCCTTTGTTTCCAATTACTCTGGTATATTGGCAAGATGATGCTGACTAGTCCTTCAGGGAATGGATGCTTAACAATGGTGAGAATTACCAATTTTGAACTATGATGATTATTGGATGAATGTTACCATGGAATGGGTATGCTACACAAACTTGACTTTTAAAATTTAATCAAAGTCGTGTTAGGTCATGTCATATGATTTTAATTGTTTTAAAAAAATAAAATCAATCTTGTTATGTAAGATGACTTTAGAAAAAAATAAAAATAACGGAGTCATTTAGATAACAAAACATGACTTAATAAAAATTAAAAAATAAAAAAAAAGTTGAGCTTGGAAGTCATACTTCCAAGTATACCTACCCAAATCCTTATTTCTTTTTTTAAATTTACCCATTTTGGTAAATTAAGAAAAAAAGTGCACCAGATTAGTACCTTTCTCAATATGGTTAGTCTTCCAAATAGAAAAATAATGGGAGTTCCTAAATCCTACTTAAATGGAAATCAATTAAGATGCAATGTTAGTAAAATGAATTTATTTTCTTACGTGTGTGTTTGAAATGTAAATTAAATTGTGTTTGATGATTTGAAAGATAGAAAATGATTTTTTTTTAAAATAACATGGACTTTAATGTTTTAGATTTAAAAGTACAGTCAAATATGGTGGGTTTTGTTAGGATTTGATTTGACCTTTTATAGTCATAAGTTCATAACTCTAGTAATCTAGCTTCATGATGAGAGATGTTATATTGTAAAGGTAAAAATTTAAACTAATAAAATTACACAGAATCGATTTGAGGGTATGCCGAGTTCCAAACATGAGATTCAATAATCCAATTTATCATAATAAGTTTTGTTCTAATCTCAAGTTCTCTAATATAGTATCATTAAGGTCAATTTTATATCCAAGGCATTATTCAGTTTGGAGCTCAAACTTACATATTTTGTTCTTGAAAGACAATTGATGGATGAAGAGAGGAAAGTGTAAATATGTTTCCCTTGACTTGATTTCTAATTGATACGAGACTTTGGAGCATTACCGGAACAAGTTTCAAACATGAGATAAAATTTCTACATCTAATTAAATCAAACCAAGCATAGTTCTACCTAATGATGTTCAAGAAAAATCTAATTGAAATTTAAATATATTCTTTTTATCTATCTATAGTGGTTCTCATAACATGTTTGCTCCACACAATAAAAATTATAAACTGTGGAGGACGAAGTAATGTTTAATTTGAAATGCGTCAGAAAGAAATAATATGTCCTCTGCAGTTTTTGCATTGCTTCTCTATTATTTTAGCTGGATTTCAGCAAGACATGAGGATTGAATGGGAAACACGATTTTACATGATGTGTAGAAATCTTCATTCAAACGATATGAGATATCATGTGTCTTTAGAAGAGCAGTTGGACATTCATCACCAAATCGCTACCTTCAGGTACTATTCTACATATTTTTTCTGACAAGTTTTTCTGTGATTGTGCCTCCCTTTTATTGAATCAACCTGAGGGAACACTATAAATGAGAACTGAATTTGGCCTTGTTGGATTTTCTCATTTATTCTATGAGGAATCTGATTGGGGTTTCTACGATGGTTTGCGATGTTTTTTCATGGAACTTTGCTTCAAATTTTGTTGCCTGTTCAAATCACTTATTATGAAATCATTGCCCGCAGGGAGATTTTGACATTATTGGTGGCACCTCGGCTTTGGCCGAAGCAGAGGTCATAAAGGTGCTATTTCTACGGCATATTGTTATATTTTCTACTTTTTTTCTGGTTTCATTTTCTTTTTCATTAAGTTCTGCAAGTGCTTAATAGTTAATCCATGATAGCATTATGATGCTTGATAGTTATACAACTTGGTTCTGTCAGTTGCAGCTCAAGTCTAGTTTTCTTTACCATGGTAAATTAATTTGTCCCTTTTTATACTTTTTTGAAGTAAAACCTGAGATCTGACTATACTGCTTGAAATATTAGTTCTCAGCCATATGAATTTATATTATAATCACTGCATAATTGAATCCCCATGATTCATGGAACAGGTAATCAAATACTAGTGAACAAGGAAATAGGAGACTTCAATATAAAAAAATCACAAAAGACAGAATCTTTACTGCCCATCGTATAATTTGTTCCTTATGTACTGAAATCTTTCAGACTTGTTTCGAATGATGTTGACCATTCTGTGTTATACTAAACTTTAGCTTATTTACTAATTGTATTACAGGTCACTAGGGACGTAGTCACTTGTTTTTTTCATGCAGATTCATGTGACATTCATCTCAACCATGGTGACCTTCTGGATGCAATTTGGTCATGGATTGGAGTCAAGGTAGAACTCAGACTCAAAGTAGCAGAGGTATGTTATCTTAGTGATGCAATAATATAACCTGGATTACTAAGTTTGTGAGGATCTAGTGTAAACATCTTTAATTTTCTGAAGCTTCTTTCAATGATGGGTTCTTTGCGCCCACAATCCTCAGAAAGGAAATCAAAATGGGTCGTGATAAGGCGGCAACTTTTGCAGGTAAGAAAATTTTTAGAGAAATCTTGTATATTTGGCTTAAATTAGTATGGTTGAGGTTGTTGTAGTTTCATTTTGGTAATTATAATGTTGAAGGAAAACAGTTCTCAGATGAAATTTTCAGTTGCAATTTTAATACTTTTCCAGGAACTGAATTTAGCAGAGGCCATGGTAAATAGGTTACAGACTGTAGGTTTAAGATTTTGTGGATCTGCAGATCATGCACTCCCCCGATTAAGAGGAGCTCTTCCATCTGGTAGTATTCTTATAGTCAGATTGCAATACACAATTACGTATGATAGAAGAAAGTTCATGCTTACTGGCAAATAGTCAACTGTTGCAGATAAACGTACATTCAAGGCACTTGATGAGTTATCTGAGCTTGTCAGTCTCTTGAGAATTTGGAGGATTGACAAAAATATATATATAGATGCATTGATGCCACCAACCGAAAGTTATCATAGAGATTTGTTTTTTCAGGTAACATAGTTTTCTTTTGCATTTTTTTTTAAGTTATTAAACCTTTGTTGTATTGTATCTAAGGGTGTCAAAATAAACTTAACCTAATGAACTGACCCGAAAGGTTTGAGAAATAGATAAGGCTAGGAAAAAAAATTTATGGCCTAAATTATATCAGACTTATTTTGGTTCGATCTATTTAGGTCATGACCTATTTGGGTTTAGGCTAGGCTTATTGCAGACTTGTTTTATAGAATAATAAATATTTTTTAAATAAGAATAAAAGTAATATAAAATATATATGTATTATAAATTAATTTGACAAGGGATTCACTTATTCTAAGAGTAAATATTAGAGTAAGTGTTTAACAACCACTTATTCCAAGATCTAATGATTAAGATTAATTACTATTTTAGATTAATAAATTATTAAAAAATAAATAATGATAATAAAGAGTAGGTTTTTAATTCTTATTTTGAGATTGAATGGATGCATTCTCTTATAATTTATATATTAAATTATTATATTTTAAATAAAAACTAATTTTATTAATATAATTTAAATTTTAAAAATATTTTTTATTTTTATTTATTTTTTTAATTAATTGATTTGGTATAAATATATTAATATTAAAAAAAAATTCAATTAAGCCAAGCTTGTTAGTCAATTGGCCTAACATAAGGTTAAGTTAGACTAAAAATTTTGGCCTCTTTTAAAATATAAGTCAGACTGGACTGAACCCCGTTATGACAGCTCTAATTGTATCAATGCCATGATTTCATTTTGTAGCAAACACTTCTCGGTCCTTACTTATGATTTGTAAATATAAAATATTGGATTGGAGTGGAGACTTGGAGTTGGAGATGCTGTGTCTACATAAGAATCACTTGTATCCCTCAATATGTTGTGCCTTCTAGGCTTTACACAATCGTTGAAGATTGAGTTATGCAAGAATTATTAATATCTTGCATTCTCGTGTAGTCAAATCCCACAACCTTTTTTATATTGTCTGTATCTATCTGACACTCTTGCATGCTATTCTTTCCTCTGCCTTGTCTCATTTGGCTTGAATTTGGGAAGGGACAGTTTCTTGAAGCTTTACTCCAAGTTTGTGAAAGAGCTATTCTATGAAAAAATTGTAATTGAAAATAATCGTGGTTCTAGTTCTACATAATGAACAATTAAAATTATTAAAGGGATAATAATTTCATGATGCTGAGCGCTTATGTCATTTTGTAAACAATAGTTGTTGGGTTATAGTGGAAAAGGAATGAAACAATTATGATAAAGGATAATTAATCATAACAAAACACTGACATCGAACTGTTGGTATGGAGCTAAAGCTGCCGACTAATAATTATCAGTCTGAGCCTCTGATTATATTGCTTTATATGAAATAAGAATGAACTTGAATCCATCAATCTACAAGCCAGTTTTTTTTTTCAATTATTATTTTAAATATTATTTCACCTATGTTTATGACCTCACTTGGTGTTCACTAGTGTTTTCAACATCTAATATTCCATGTGAAAAAGATCATCAAGATATCTGTTATTTATATTTTTATGACATACTTTTTCTATCATATGAAATGGTTATAATTAGGAAAATCATGGAATATTTGTAAAAAGTTGTCCCTGTTCCATCAATTTTATTGATAAAGAACTGGGTACATTTTATTTTTTAAACTATATTTAGTGCTTGATGGTTCCGTTGGAAATGCATATCAAGCATTAAAAAGGCTAGAAAATGTATGTGTTGGTAATTCTAATGAAGTTGAGCTTGTCTTGAAAGGTATACTTAAGGAAGGAGAATAGTCCAGGATCTTTCTCTGATGGTGCCTTGCTGGCTGTTGGTGGTCGATATGACTATTTGCTTCATCAGTTGTGGAGAAGTGACTGTGTAGGTTATAGATACACATTTTATTTTATTTTATTTTATTTTTCTGATTGACTTTGAGATGACTTGTGTATTCTATCCTATTTTTCTTTCTGTATTTCTCTGACTGTTAAACATTCTAGGATGTACAATAATCATGTGTACCTATGCATTAACAATTATAGAATTCAATTGCATTTTGCTTGGATAAAAAAATGTGTTATTTATAAACTTGTCATGCTTAAACTCATTGGTCTGAATTTGAAAGTACTAACAGAACATGTTAAGGTTTGTCCCTCATACTCCAGATGTGTATTGATTGATGCTAGCCTTTTCCCAAACATGATGTCAGTTATCTGTTACTGATGATATTTCATGTTTCACTTCTGTGTGCTTCAGTTTTGACGGTGTTTGCTTCTTACAGTTCTAGACAACTTAAAGCTTTTGTCTCTGTGAATTTTATATTGTTTGTGATGCTTGTCTTCTATGCTATCTAGAAAGGAAATCCTCCCACTGGTGTGGGGACTAGCCTTGCAGTGGAGACAATAATTCAGAATTGTCCTGTAGATATCAAGCCCAATAGGTTAGTGTCCTTCAACTCATACTTTCCTGTTATTTTAACATTTTATAACATCCTTGAGACTATTCTTTTTAGTTATACTTTTAATTTATACAAATAACACAAAGACCCTTGATAAAGCTTGATTTGTTGGTTTTCCTCAACTTTTCAGAGCCGATGCCAGCACCAATATTCTTGTCTGCTCTAGAGGTGGAGGTGGTCTCCTGGTGGAGCGCATGGAGCTAGTTGCTGAATTATGGGAGGAGAACTTTAAGGTTGAGATACCCAATCAATTATATTCTGCTTAATTGATTTTTATACTTGCTTCTGTTCACCCATCTTTCATATCATCAGGCTGAATTTGTTCCTACCCCTGATCCAAGTCTTACAGAGCAGTATGAGTATGCTAATGAACATGGTATCAAATGCCTTGTCATTATCGCAGATACAGATTTCTCCTTGAGTGATTCTGTTAAGGTAATGTTCTCTGCAATTTAATTCTCTGAGGGTGGTTCTATACTGATTTTTATTGATCTTATGGATTGTTGCGTCAAAAGAATTTTGTTGCATGATGTCCTACCTCGTGTAAAACCTCAGACTTTGTGAATGTCTGGTGGACAGGCGGATGAAATGGTTGTACCATCAGATTGCTATAGAAGATTATGATAGTGAATGACACAGATCAAGGCTTTTTCATGGGAATTAGAATACTTTTTGTTCCCTCTCTCATGTGAAGTACCTGTTATATAATCAAAAATTCCTTGGGACATTATAACTAATGTGACAGGTTCACCATCCATTTTATATGGGACAATCCTTGGATGGTCTCTTCTGTCCACAGGTCAACCTATTATGCTCCACATCCAAAATTTATCATTGTTCAACTCGTTGAGTTGTGGTGTTTACCTTGGATATTTGATGTCATGTAAACATATTAATGCTCATAGGGAGATATTATTTTAAAGGGGTTGTTTCATGGCCTACATGTGAGCATGTAATCTGATCGCAAGACATTGTTATGATCTGTGCTAACTCTAATTTACATTGGTCTCCAGGTTCGACACCTTGAACATAAGAGGGAGAAAACTGTTGAGAGAAAAAACCTAGTCAAGTTTCTATCGGATGTCATGGCAACACAATTTAGAAATCCCGCCATTTGGATTTGATTGGATGTTAAGAGAAGCTCAACTTCTTAGCCTTCAATACTAATAGTTATCAACATGGATGCCTTCGATGTTTCACTTTTCAGAATGTAGAACTTCAAAAGAGAATTCGTGTATAGCAGTTTTGCAGCTTTCTCACCCTCTTTCTCTCTTCCCTTGTGCTAATGCATAGTTGTGACTTGCGATGATGTAAATATGTACATAGTATATCAGTCATTGTAATTCTTAGTCTCCTTCTGTGCTTAAAAACCCTGTGAAAAGTAAGCATTGATGATCCATTGAAATTATATCTTATTTTCTTTTTCTTTTTACATTTCATGAGTATTTTGATCTTTGTTTGATGAATTGAAACAAAAGAAGTGTTAGAATGTTGATATCTAGAATGATTAGATTTTTTTCTTCTTTTACTGAATCTTAACATATGATTGTAGAAGCTTCAAATAAGTGGTATACAATTAACCATTGTAAAGTGTATATCTTGCACCTCCTTCATTGGGGGAGTGTTTCTTTCCGAGCCTCCACAATTTTCTTCTATCAATTCTCATTCATTATGGATTGAATTTTAAGGAGTGAAAAGAAAACAGTGGGGGCACAGAATGTGAGATGTCACGATTAAATTTGCAATATCACTGTGAAAATAAAATTAGTCTCCACTAACTCTACTCATTTTTTTAGTGTAAAATAATGAGTGATTTAATTTAATTCATTCATACTAAATTAAGTAAAATAAATTGATCAATGTAATAATTAAAATAATTAATTTTTGTAAGTATACGATTATAGCTTCTTCATGCCATTTTATTTTCTTCGTGCCTTATTTTTCTTCAGTCATTTGACTATCCAATTGACAAATATTTTTAATGCAAATTTTACAAACCTAATTTACGTTTTTTTTTTTAATTTACCAAAACAATATACTGATTAATTTGCTATACCTGATTAGAATATTATAAATCATCAAGGAACATAATTTGGTGTCAATATCAAATTTATCTCACATTTGTAAATTGACCTTATTATGAAGTTCCACGGGATATTTTTTATAACTTTATTTATAATGTTATTTGTTTGGCTAACTTTTTATTACTTCATGAAAAAATAACATTGCTCATTACACTTTTAAATTTGTTTTCAGTTTTGTCCCTTACATGTGTAAGTTCATATGAAATTTAAATATCACTATTATAATAACTTTATGTTTATTTTTAATATCATTAAAGAGGTGAGACTTGATCAACATTGCTCTATACGAAAAGATATGATATACAACAAATGTGAGGAGGAAAAGAGAATTAGGAAAATGTAAAATTAAAGTAGGAAAAATAAAAAATGATGATAGGGGGCGAATGCGACCCGCGTATCTTTATGCTATTAATGACAAAAAATTCTATATTTAGTATTTGTAAAAACTAAAGTTGTTATAACATTGTGTAAAATTATTATTAATAAAAGCCCTTATAGCTCAGTGGTAGAGCGTCAGTCTTGTAAACTGAAGGTCCGTAGTTCGATCCTGCGTGAGGGCATTAAATTAAATATTATTTTATAAAATTTTAAATTTAATTCCAAGTTATTATTTACATAATTTGTTATGATTATGTAAATCATAATTTATTTTTAGAAAGAAATTTTTTAATTTATTTCTTTTTTTATTATTATTTAAATAACTTGTCAGACTAAAACTTTTTTTTTTTTTTTTAAAACATAGAACTTAATTAAAAATAGAAACATGAGACTTAAACCAGAAACACCCTTAATCTAAAAATAATAATAGTCAGACTGCATACTCAAGAAACAAAGTTACATGAAACAGCATGACATTAGTGGTGATAGCAGCATCTATAGGGGAGAATCACCTCACAATCACATGAGAACTTTAAGCCTTAGTTTTCCTTCAAACTTGACATACATGGTTAGAAGTTGTGCTGCAAGAACAGCCTCTCTCCAGGAGAAGCAGGACCAATCTCTTCCTCAAGGCTTCTCAAAACATCACCTCCCCCTCCAACATTTCCCAAGTTCTTGCCTTCTACATTATTCTTCCCATCAACATCTGCCTCAGACACTGATGACTTTCTCCTTTGAGAAGATGTTACACTGGGGAAAGTTATCCATGAGGGTGCCCTGAACTCAAACCTATGGTCCTCAGTTTCTACCACATCAGCCTCAGAAATTGACCTGTTGGAGGATCTTTGAGATGATTTCTTGTGCAATCTGTTGCTTCCTAAAACCACCTCAGTGGGCAAAATAGGCTGCTCAATGCATGGACTACCCATTAACTGTGCAAGACCTCTCTCCAATGCTGTTGTTACTTTATCCATTGAGGGTCTCTCTTTCCCTCTCATCCTCACACACTTACAAGCCACGTTGGCTATTCTCTTCAAGGCTTCAAGATCAGGAGGGGGTTTCAAAACCGGGTCCAAAATTGCAATTATATCTCCTGACTTTATAAGAGGCACTGCCCATTCCACTATGTTCCCTTCTTCATATTGCATGTCAATGGCTTTTCTACCACTTAGAATTTCCAAAAGAAGAACACCGAAACTATAGACATCTGATTTTGTTGTGAGGTAATGAAGCCTATAGTATTCAGGATCAAGATATCCAAGAGTCCCAGCTGGGAGTTCAGCCAGTGGTGAACCACTATCTGCAGGACCCAACAATGATAAACCAAAATCCGCCACTCTCGCATTGTGTTCTTCATCGATGAGAATGTTTGAGGACTTGATATCTCTGTGAATCACGGGAGGGCAAGCGTAGCCATGCAAATATTCAATTCCCCGTGCTGCTTGCACTGCAATAGTGACCCTTCTTATCCAATTTAACTGTTCTCTCAACACTTGGTTTGTTCCATGCAAGTGTTGGTGCAAAGAGCCATGAGCCATGAACTCGTACACAAGAAGTCTCTCTCCACCTTCTTCACAATAGCCTAGAAGGTTGAGCAAATGAGCGTGGTTTAACCTTGAGAGCAAGTCAAGTTCAGTGTGAAACTCCTTGGAATTCTTCTGCATGTTGGGAGACACTATGGCCCTTTTCACAGCAACTACTGTCCCATCTTTCAACACTCCCTTGAACACACACGAGAAACTTCCCTTCCCCACTACGGACTCTTCATTGAATCCACAAGTTGCACTTTCAAGTTCCTCATACGTGAACATTTGAGCCCTTCTGATCTTAAACTCCTCCAAGTCTGGCCTGACCTTATTCTCGTTTTGCAGGGAAGAATTCCCAATGAGTTTCTTCACCTTTGAACCTTTTGAACACTCACAATCTCTTAGCCTGTAGCGGACGTATAAAACTGCAGTTATTGTCACTACACTAACAATGAAAACTGCAAAAGCAATCTCAGCAATGACAACTGGCAGCTGCAAAGCCCAAAATTTTTCAGTTTTCTTCTCAGTGAAAGCATTGGAATGTGAAGAGGAGCAGTTCAAGAAGCATTCCGATGAAGAGCAAGAGGCACAGTTATATTCACACATTCTATCAGAAGCCCAATTGCATGGACTCTTCTGATACATTTCAGGAGGACATGCACCACTGCATCGCATGCAAACACGAGAATCTGGTGATTTGCAAAGACCCTTATGCTGCTGACCAATAGCATAGGAACCAGGAGGGCATGGAGCAGGTTGACACATTCCCGGTGAAACAGCTAAAGGAAGTGAGGTGGGAAAATCAACACCCCAACATGAAGGCATAAGAGATTTCTCAGCAAGCACTGCACAAGTAAAATAATCACCAGCTGCAACTTCAAAAACCTTAATCCCTCTAGGAGATGGAGTGCTTCGTTTGATAACAAAGCCCCAACAAATAACACCACGATCATAGCTCTTAATGCCACACGCATGGAACTTCCCTCCCACTACAGAAAGCATGGGATCATTTGGAGCCAAATCGACGTTTCCTTGACCTGTGTGTGCCACTGAAATTTCTTCCCCAAGGTTCAAGCTTCTCCCCCAACAAACAGTCTTGGAATTCACTCCTTCTGAGATTCCACACACATGATACCCACCAGCTGAAATTTTCTGGAATCTCATGTCTTGTGGAATCAAACTAATTACTAGGCTATTAGTCTCATCACCCCAGCAGAACACAGTCCTGTTCTGAGAAAAAAGACCACAATTGAATTCAGAACCAGCTGTGATTGATTCAATCTGTCCCCCAAACACATAGTTCCTGGTCATGTTGTAGCCCCAGCAATCAACCAAGGAAATGTACCTGTGTCTTCCAGTCAAAGGTTTCCTCAAGCCACAAACATGATAATCACCAGCACTGATTTCTATGTACTGTGCTCCTTTGATCATAGGTTGAGGCACTCCCATTTCAATGTAGGTACTGCTACCCCAGCAGTATGGTTGATTGGAACCCATTAGAAGCCCACAAACAAAGCCATCTCCAGCTGTTAGACCAAGAAATGAGAAATGGGCAGGTGTTCCATAGATTATGGCCGAGTTGGATCCATAACATGTCACTGTGTGAGAGCCATCAGATTTCAAACCACAAAACACAGAACCCTTTTCGCCATATGAGATGGCAATGGATGACATGGAACCAAGGCCTGTAACTTGCATCCACAAGCATGACAAAACCACCAGCTCAAATAGAAGCCTAACTGTACATGGATTCACATTCAATAATTGACGTTTTAATGAGAGCCCCATGATACAAAGAAATCAAAATATTACATGGATAAAAATGTAGAATGTAGAATATTCACCAACAGCAATAACAAGATTGTTTGGTCATAGCTTATGGCTTTGCTTCTAATGACTTCTCTGACAGAAAACTGATTGGTAAGGCTGATGCAGTCTAGAGGGAATCTTGATAAGAACTAAAACACCATGATAACCCTATTACCTCACAATTTCGTACAAACTCCATGAATAACTAGCAATGCAAGAAAAAGAAAAGAAAAAGGAGTGGTGAAGGAGTAAAATAATATCCAGCAAATTGAGAATCTTCTTCAGTCAAGTCATGAGAAGTAACGCAAATAGATAGGAACTACGCTAGATCTTCTGCCACTTCCAAATGAATAGGAAGAAAATCCCATGCTTCTTGTTGGCTAGGTGAGAAAGATAAAAGTTTCCATTAAAGCAAGCTCCAAATCCAACTGTTTTCATCACAAAAGAGACTTTCAACTCACTACATCAACAACTGGAGATATGGTCCATGCTCTTTGAATCAGGTGGGCACCCCACATTTTGAAAACTCTTGCAATGCATTTTGGAGCATGAGGCGTTGGAGATGGGAAGGTGAAGTGAGAGTAAAAGAGATATAGATAGACAGAAGGATGGATTGTTGGGGGTGGTTGCAGGGTATTGTTGTTACAGACAAGAGGGTGAGGGAGAGACGGTGCATTAAATGACACAAAACTGCTACTTCTGTACGTATGAGCAAAGTGTTGGTGAAGCTAATAAATGAGGAAGTTAATGCAATTCAATGTTTTCATGCTTGGACTAGTCCATATTTAGCCACCAAATCCAAATGTTATTTTGCTCATCAGGCGTGGCTAATGGCTTGGAAGTTGGAACAATACAAAACCTCACATCACACCTCCAACCCTTCATTTGGGTCCCTCCTCTCCTTCATTTTAACTCTTCCCTTTCTTTCTCCCACTTTCCTGGTCACCAACTTCCTCTGTGTTTTGGTCTTTCTCTATTTCACTCGGTCTCTGCGTGCTTCATCAAGTTTCTATTCCCATCAATCATAATTATATAAATTATAAAATTGGACCTAAGTTTAATCACTTAAACCCGTACAATTTTTTTAATACAAAATAGAGAAAATAATATAAATAAGTGATTGGAATGATTTGTAATACCATGTGACAAAAGAGAAAAAAAAAGTATTAATTATTTATTTATATGTCCATAAATCAACACTTAAAAAAATTCAATTTGTGTCTTAAATTAGTTAACTAATTAAAAGAGATTTTAAATTTCTTAAACCAACTTAACAAACATTCAAATTTATTCGATTAGTTTATAATGGATATTTACATGATAAACATTAAAATAATATAATATGTTAATTAAATTAATTATTAAATAAGATCTAAATATATAAATAACAGCTTTAGGTTATAATATTTAAATTATATATAAATAATAAAAATAATAGATAATTAAATGAATAACTAATAATGATTTATATCTTTATGTGTTTAGTTAATATCTTAATAAGAAACGTCCAATAGAAACCAATTGATGAAAAAAAATATCTCATTATTTAATATATTTTTAAAATATATTTATTTATTTCCCTCATATAAATTATTATCAATGAGATAATGAAGATTAATATTATGAAACCAAAAAGTTTTCCTTTCACTAAAATTATAAATAGGTGTGTTAAATTACTCGTAAATAAATATTCTAAATTTTTATATCATAATTCTTATAAAAAAACTATATTTAGCTCCATCTCTTTTAATATATTTTTCTTTAATATTTGTCTTCATATATGTAATTTTCTAATATAAACCATAAGTTTCTCATACATGTGATTAAAAATTTATGCATAATTTGATAATAATGTTGATGTTGTTATTTTGTTTCACATATTATCATAAAGTTGTAATATTATATTTTATTAATAAATATCTTATTTTTTATTAACTATTACGAGGATCAATTTCATCTAAATACAAATAACTTGCGTATCTATAACTCATTAAATTTAATTTTGAAACATTTGAATAAAAAAAACTCATTCCACAAGATAAAGAAATACATGTTTTACTATAATAAAATATCTTCTTATAGATGAAGAACCATATCTTGCTAATAAATTTTACATCAAGTTTAATAGAGTTAATAATATATATTAGCGTTCTTATAAAACTATGGTAAAATACTTCAAGTAAAAAAAAAAATCATTGAGAATTTAAGAAGAAAATAAGGGGTTTTATAAAAATACATTTATTTAAATATTAAATATTAAATTTGTAATAAAAACAAAAATTATTCTTTATGAGATCCTTCATCATAAATTCTTTCTATAAAAGAATTAATTGCTTTTATAAATTGTTTTAGAAATTCTGACATAGAAAAGTATAGCAACTTCATTTTTCAGATAAAGCACAAAATGAGATTATATTTATTCTAATTTTTTAAAACAAAATACTCGAATGGTGCATATGAATTTATTAAATTCATAAATGGGCTTACTAAACTTGATTGAATAATGATATGTAGAATTTACATAACTTGACAAATTAAAGCTTTGAAGAAGTTTTATATAAATATTATTTTTAAAATAATAATACAAAAAGGTTGTAGCAGTTTTCTTTATGCGTAACTTGAATCATTTATATGTAAATGAATTAATTAAATATCTATAAGTATTTACATCCATTAAAGGTGATTCAAAAATCAATATTGGATATAGTGAAATTTTTTTAAAGTCAAGTATCTAATAGTTTTAACACTTTTAGGTATATAGATTATAAGTCAAAAATTATTTCACTCGTTAAGAGAATCTAATTCTCTTTAATTTTTTTTTTTTTTTAACAATTTCTAATGAAAATTGATATTTCATCTTTAACAGCATTTATAACATTTAAAATTATACTATATGAAAAAAAAGTATTATTAATATTGATTCACCTTAATTCATTGTTAGGAATAACAAAATGATCAGCCCTATTTTAACTATGTCTGTATCTAGTCCGTTTTGTTATTCTTATTTATGACATAATTAATTGAAATATATAATTTTATAATAATTTCATATATTAAAGTTCTTTTGAAACTAATATATTCATGATTTTTTTTTATCCTTAATTAGCTCATTTTTTTTTAACCAAATATTCTTATTTTTTGAAAATATTGAGTCACAACATATATTCTATCTTTAACACAATGTCTAATTGAAACATCAATTATAATTAGAGCATTAATAATTGGAAAATATATTTAGTATTTGATTGACTAAACTTCACATGTGAATTATCTTTCTGAAATATAGTTAATATTCTTTTGTGAAGATTAACAATAGTTATTTCAATTAATATTTTTTTCACTTATTTATTCTCTCCTAGGAAAATTTATTTATCAAATATATAATTAAAAAATTGAATGATAAGAGAACCTTTTATCAATGGTTCAAAATAATTTATTATTAATAAAATTCATATACATATATATATATATATATATATATATATATATATATATATATATATATATATATTCTCAATCTTTTTATGAACAAATTCACTTTTTGGGTGTAAGTAAAACATATATTTCTCACCCAAAAAAATCCCTCTAATGGATTATTGACCGAAAGTCAATTATGAAATAGGAGTATATTTAATATAATTTTTAATTTGATGTAAATTTGTAATATAATATATATAATTGTATAATCAAATAGCAATTAGAAGATTCAATATTATGAATAATAATTCTGCAGTCAACTTTAAACGTTTTATATCATTTTACATGTATTGTGTAAAACATAAAATATTCATTAAATATATAAAATGTAATTTCACCATAATTATCCAACAAAATAATGAGTTTTTATCAATCAATTGAGTTAATAACTTCATAGTCGCTTGCTTGAATAGATAAAATAAACATGTAACTATCAAATCAGTAAATAGTTAATAATGTTTTATAATAAAAACTTTTTAAAATTAATTTTTTTATACATATATTTTCTTAAAATTCTATTTATTAAAGAATATAATTTCATCTTTTTAAAGATAATATACTTTAACATTTCAAAAAAAATTCAAATACTAAAATGCATGAATAATATTTATTATTATTATTATTATTATTTATTTTCTTGTATATAAATAGTTTTTTTAGTTTTTTTATTATTTTTTTTAATATTAATTTGATTCTATTTTTTTAAATAAATCTTTTTATCAACTAAGTTAAGTTGTTTAATAGAAAAGTGTCACTTAATATTTATTTAATTATGTTTATTAATATTATATTTATGTGTGATCCATGCGTGAAAGACCTATTAATTTGTTTTTTTTATATATATAATATGTTGCAAGACAGAATCGTGGTAAACACAAGTTTATAATTAATTTATAATTATTTTCAATTTATGAATGAGATTTTGTATTATACTCCAAAATCACTTTTTGAATATAATAATTTAAGTTAAGAGTTAAATAATGTATAGTATTTAGTAAAGGGGTCTTAAACTTGGGAAGGTATAAAAAGAAAAAGAAAGGGACACACAATTAAAGCTACCTTCAAAAAGTGACACTAATTTTTCATAATATTAATCAATTATGTTTCTCTCATTTAATAACAAATTATCTTACACGATGCGATGATTTTATAATAATTAGATCAAATTATTATTACCATAATTTTTCATTCTATGGAAATTAAACTCATTAATATGTTGATAATTTGACATTAATATTCTACAATCTAAGCTAGGCATAGCTATAAATACCAATTATGTTATCGACCATTAACTTCAACAAGAAACATTATTGTAAGTTCGCGAAACAAATGTTTAAAACCTTCTAAAGTAGGGGAATTGATGTATTGCCTAAAATAATAAAAATATAAGAGAATTAAAAAAATTATATATTTTTCTTTAATATAATTAAAATATTTTTATTAAATTTCCTATATTACCTATTAATTTATCAAATTTTTAATCATTATTAATATAAAAGTTATTAAGTTCATGTCGCATTGATTATTATCTAATATATTCGTTCAGGTTTTATCCGAAATTCACTAAAAACAAATATCTTGATAACTTTCATTGTAATCATTTATAATTAATTGTTTACAATTTTTCATGAAATTAATTTTTTTATAATTTAAATGTATCCATTGACTAATGGAACTCGTCACATAAAACTAACTACTTGCTTAATAAAAAATATTAAAAATTTAATAAAATAATTGATATTGTATGAAAAACCAATCAAATATTCTTTAATATTAAACATAAATATTTGTTATAGTTATTGAAAAAAAAAACATAATTATCAACTAGAAAACTGTTTCTTCAAAGATGCAATTGTCAAGTAATTTCAGAGATAGTGTCTTAAAGGATAAATATAAATATTATAACAAACAATAATTTTTATCGTTTCTAAATACCATAAATAAATAAAAAAGTTATGGCACATTCTTTAGCTGGTCAACTGAAATCTAACTAAAATATTCTTATTTCAAATTTTGGTTTATATGATTTCATTAGTAATTACATCCACAGAAAAAAAAGTCTTATTTCCACTTTGTTCCATGTGTCTAGTTTTTGCCATTTTCTACATATAATCTTAAAGGGGCACTTTTTATAATTATTGGTGAAAGATTGAGAATGGAAACAGAAAACAAAGAAACTATCTTCAATTTGCAAAACAAATTTAAGAGTGGTAAAAAACAATAAAATTATATGGGTTGGAATTTTATGCATATTTATTTCAATTTCTGATCCATATGATTCAACAGTTTGATCACATATCAACAATCACCAAATGATTTTCCAGAAAAAAAAAAATTGTAAGTCATGAGGATAGAGTTATTTGACTCGTGATCAATTTTATGACCTATCACCTACTTTCTTATAGGGATAAGGATATATTTCATACCTACTAAATAACATTCTTCAACTTTGGAAGAGTGGATTATAACTTCATTGAAAAATATGGAACAAATTAATTACCCCAAATAATGCACTAAGCACTTCATCAACTCACTGAACAAGAAAAACAAACAGTATCAACACACAGAATATGAAAAGCAGAACTAGAAAGCAAAATGGAAAATAATAACTTAAGCTAATATGCCAAAAAGGAATTTGAATTTAAAAAGACCAATCCTATAATCTTAATCTGGGAGTTTAGAAGATTTTGAGTAGCAATTTCATGGAAAAAATAAAATACATAATGAATGGCAATTTAAAAATTTACATCCTATTTAAATATCAGGTATTTACTCCAAGGTTTACATTCATTGTATTTAGTTTTACGTTTTTGCCATAATGAAATGTCAAAGCACCTTGGAGATTAGCCTCATGGATCTTCTGGGCAGCTTCACACCAGTATTCTTCATGCTTCGTAAAACTCTTGTCGTAGTAGGTTTACCATTTGAACCTTGAATTTCGGAGTCTCTGTTTTTTCTCTTTTTGCTGAGCTCAATTTTAAAATCCTGATTATCATAATCTAGGCTAGATTTCTTTAGTGGATCATCAAACTGGGAGCATCTGAAAGCACAGTACAAATATACTCAAACAAGTTGAATAAAAGCACTTTAAAGACACTGAAAAACATAAATAGGAAGAGTAATTACTCTGAACTCTCCCTTCCATCAATAATCCTGCCCACCTCCTGCAAACAACAAAACATAATTGACATAAGTGATTAACTAAAGAAAGAACAAGATAAATATTTGGTACATGAGAGCAACATTCCAGTAGCTTGCAAAGATCATAAAAATCTTTAGGTTGCCAATTTTTCAAAAATCAACATTCTTTTCATACATAAAACATACCCTATCATCTCCAGCACATCACAAACATAAAAAATAAAAATTACAGATGTGTTACAGTGGGTACAATGGATTATTCCGAGACACAAAAGAATGAAGTGTTTTACTACCAAAATAAACTACCAATAAATAATAAGTTAATAAATAAACAGCACAAAAATATGGGTTAAATTACAACGAAAAATATCTCACTTCTGCTTAACAACCCTGTACAGCATCAGATATAAGAATCTAAAGACTTTGAGAAAAAGAATTATTTAGGAAATAGCATGTAGTAAAGATATCAATATTACTGTGTGATGATAGAGAACCATTCATATCTCTTTTCTGTACTGATAGATTTCAAATTCTTCAACAACAATTTCTTGCATATGTATTTCAGATAGGGTGTTTACATGCAAAGCTTAATACATTAGCACCACATCAAACAGAAAAAAAAAATTAAGTTCCAATCAGACCTGTCAAATACGGTATTATACCAAGCACCAATAATTTAGTTGGAATTGGGATAGTGCAGCTACATCAAATATGATGTACTAGACACACATAGTACAAAAAAAGTGTACATAATCTAAAAGGCTAAAGAAAGAAATATACCCATTCATTAGTTAGTGATGTGAAATTGTTACTGTCAGTCTCAAAAATAATCTCGGTTTTGACTAGTCTATACTCTTCCATGTCAGGAGAAGTGCTCTTTGGATCACTAAAATCCAGGGAACCTTCGTTGTCATAGGATGAAACTGATGCATATTTCCGACAGTTTATACCTGGTGAGTTTTGTACTCCCGCAGAACTACTTAATGAAGCTCCAGCACACGCTGCACCAGCTTTCGCAAAACAAGAATCATTTAGCAGAGCACAATCCTCAGAACATTCATTATCAGGCTTTGAATTTTGAAGCCCCAGTATGCCAGGATCTGACAGTGAGTTGACAACAGATTCACAAAGGGACTTGATGAATGTCATATTCTTCTTAGACGAGCCTTTGGCACAAAATTCAGCACCACAAATAAAATTGTTCAGTGCACCATTACTGACTTCAGCTGAGAGAGTTGATTGATCTTGCATTAAATTGTCAGCCACATTTACATTCAGTTCAGCCGAGACAGTTGAATTTTTTACCTGTAAATTATCTTTCAGTTTTATAGTCGTGCTGCATGGGGTTAATGAATTACTTATCAAAGGACTGACATCTGTATTCTGTTGATCTAACCCGGTAGCATCATCTTTTATCAGTTTGAAGCCTGAAGGAGATCTGGCCTGACTATCATGCTCATCAATTTGACCAGAATTTGTACTCCACAAAAAGGAAGATTTTCCTTGTGTGGAATTCTCAGCTAAGTCGCTGAGATCCTGCCAAAGGCTTCGAGACTTGTTTCCATGCATATTCTCGCTTATGCAAACCTCGTTTCTAAACCTGTTAATCCAATCTGCTGGGGACAAATTTAAATCCACATGAAGGCTAACTCCCACATCTGACCAGACATAGAACTCAAAAGAAGATGGAGGAGCATCAGTAGCTGCTTTTATTGAAGAAGCAAAATCTTTCTCAACCGAAGGTGCACCTGCTTCTACTACTCCACCATTACTTTTTTGGTGACAAATTAGCATTGTCTTGTCTCTCATTTTACCTAACTATATGTCAAAGCTTCTTTCTGATGACTTGGTCTTCTTCAAACCTCCTATGTGCACTGTATAGCCAAAGCCTCCTGCATGTGCTGCACACAGTTAAATGAGGCATGTTCCAACAAATTGTACAAAGAAAAGAATATTGCAATTAAAGATGGAATCTTTTTTTATCCAGATCAACTGCCCTTGCCGTGTACACATCTATGCCAAGTCATACGAGCTAATAATACCTTCTGTGAAATCAATATCATAACTTTTTAAGAAGACACCAAACATAATTTTCAACTTTCAAACAATTATGCAAACAAGTAATGGAAGAGTGAAACTTGAATTGCCTTCCTCACTAAAACATTTTTCTAATCCATTAACAGGAGCAAAAGAAGCACTTCACCTACCACGTGGTATAAAATATATAAATTGCTTCCTGATTTCTTTAAAAATCCCAGAAGAAAAAAGTTGTTAGAAAATTGAAATATGAGGGCAGGTAACAAGGTCATCAACAACCTTTCTGCACAATTGAACACAGGCCAGATAATCTTGTGGGTCAAGCCAAATTTGGCATCACATGCCTAAGTCGAAGATGACAAAACATTAATGAAAAAAAAAAGAAACTCGGAAGCAATGTAAAAGTTCTTTTCACCCACTAGCCAGATTAGAATTGATTAGTCATTTGAAATCTTGAAATCTTGAAGCTGCAGTACTAAGAAGTGGGATTTTGGCTTGACAGTGATAGGGATCTTGCATCAAACATTGGATGCATTCGTCCCCCATGTTTGCAGAATGAGGCAAGAAGGAGCTCAGAAGCAAAGGCAGAGCCAAAGCTTCTCAAAGAAAGACAAAACAGAGTGAGCAAATCCTAGGAGCATACAAATACACTGAATTGGATTGGGTATCATCCCTATAACTCCATCATATTTCGCAATCATGGAGAACAGTAATATTAGAACGAGTGGATCTCATCCCAGTAAAAACTCACTCGTCAGAGGGTGTGGAATGGATACTATCAACGAAACGGTGGCATTATTTTTCCCTCACAATTAGAGGGTTTTCCCACACAAAATTTGTTTTAGAAACTCCATGCTTACCATTATTGCTTCACTAAACGCTCTGTTATCATTATGCATCAAATAAGGAATTAAATGGGGGAAAATAACAATTTTTGGAACCTTCACAGTAAATCAGTGACAACTCATCCTGGAACAATGGCATTGACGTGCATGGTTGAGTGAGAAGCACCCCATTGCATCTTCGGTATGTGAAAAAGTAGAAGCAACCTAGGGGTAGTAGAGGTGGCAGTGAAGGTGCGAAAGTAACGAAGTGTGTGTGAGAGAGATGAATGTGAATGTAAGAGAAACATAGAAAAGGAGGGAGAAGCGATGATACCTTATGGCTGGAAACTGTTGCAGACAGAGAAGGGGAGTGTGTTTTTGTTTGTTTTGGGAAGACAAGGTTTTAGAGGGAGGATTGGTTTTGTTTGGTTTGAGAGGGTGGTAATTTCGTCAATAACAATTCTTTTTTTTTTTTTCAACATGGAACAGCCATGAAAATTAAAAAAAAAATACACACACAAATAAATATTTAATTTTTTAAAACAATTTACTAAAACAATCTCAACTATAATTTTATCGAGCTAAAGAGAATAAATTAAGGTGAACAAATTATTTTATTAAAAATAAAAATATATTTTAATTTTTTATCTTTTCATATTACACTTATTCTAATCAATATTAACAAAAAAATAAAATAAATAGAGGGTGTATCATACAAGATTGGTTAACACAAGTGTTAAAAAACAAGAAGAAAATTGTGTAGTTTCATAAAATTTTAGAGTTTATTAGAGAAATTTACTTTATATATATGAAGTGAAGGTTTTTAAAGTTATATTTAATTTATAATTTGTAAATATTTTAACTTTAAAACCGTAATTAATTAAAAATTTAATCAAAATCTTAAATTTTATTATTTGAATTAGAACATAATTAATGACTTATGATTTTTATTAAAAAATAAAAATTATAAAAAGTGTGAAAGATTATGGAGTGATTTTAAATCTAATAAAAATAAAGTGAAATAAATATTAAAAATTGAAATCACACTTTTTTGAATCCAAATTTGTGAATGTCATGACTTTTTACCCTAATGGAGACCACCTCTTTCGTGAGTCACGTTAACAATTATCTTCTTCAAATGATTGAATTTTGAAGACTCTAAAACATGAAAAAAATGATTTTGAAGGACAATAAAAAAACCATTTCAGATCATATATATATTAAACAAAAACATGTACCAATAAATGCTAATCTTAATAAAATTTTCAAATGTCATATTTTGTCACATTCTAAATAGAAAAATATTGACTAATTTCATTAATTTAAAAATATAAAAAATAAATGTTGATAGAAAAAATATTTTTTCCATAATTTAATTACTCACTTTTAATATTAATGCAATTATTAATATAATTGATAATTGAGAATGGGGTTAAACATGCATTTAATGCAGAGACAGGGGGAGAAAAAAAATAAAAAACATTAATTTTGTGTGTCTAACAAAGAGAAAAGAAAAAAAAATCTAAGATTCATTATATAATTGTTAACTTATTTTTATTTATTTATTTATACATATATTTCCTTTTTTATATTAAGTTATTAAAATAAAATAAAATTTTAAATATTTTATTTCATCTATTATTTTATCAACAACTAAATTTATTATTATTTTTTTAATTTATTCATTTTTTATTTTAATAATTTATTTTACTTTTTCAAAATCCATCAAAGTTCTTTTTCAGCATGTAAGTGACAATTTTAAATACATTTTTATAATATTTTTGTGATTTGTTTTGTTTAACATTTGGTTCAATGCTGGAATATATTCTGGCACAATCATTGATCAACTTTTCATTCCTTGGTGTTGGCTGCATGACTCTGACACTTGCTGTATAAATCAATGGAAGTACAGAATGAATGGAACGATGTAAACCACCCAAAAGGCATATAAATATACGTTAAGGTCAATGACAGGATTTTTTATTTTTTTATAAGGTTAAAAATGATTAAAATATATTAAAAAAAATTATAATAGTTGTGTTATAAATTTAGTATTTTTTATTTATTATGTAAATTATAAATATAGTTTTTTTATTTAATAATTTATCATTTTTCTTATTGAAAATTTTACATAATAAAATCATTATTTTAAAATATTTTTTATTAAAAATATCAAATAAAAAATAAAAATTATCATTTATATTTTTTGAAAATACATGTCTTTTAACTCTATAATTCTTGAAAAAAAATTATTAGTTTTTGTAAGATATATATTTTTATTTTTAATATCTAATATAATTCAGTCAACAACGAGTGACGATGTTAGTTATTAATTTAGTCAACAAGTATCTTATATCAAAAGTTTAATTCAATCCTACTCATAAGAGACATTTTTGTGCATAAGATATACTTCTATTTAAGAAAAAAAAATGAAAAATTTATATCCAATGGGGAGATCTTTAGAGTGAACAGGAATTTCATATTAGAAATTATACATGTTCATTAAGAAGATTATAATATTTACATTAAAAAAATTAAAATCACTCTTTTTTTTTGTAATATGCAACTCAAAAAAACAAAATAGAACAATTTTTCTCTTCAAGTTTCTTCCAGTAACTGTAATTTTATATTTCTTGAAGTAATTATTATTATTTTATTCTTATATTTGAAGAGATAATATTATTATTATTTTAATGAATTATGTTATTATTTATTATTGATTTTGTTTGTGTTTTTTACTAATGCTTACTTGTTTACTTTTACCATTATAGGAATACACAATACCCGTCAAAATAATTTTATATTTTTAATGATGTTTTTAAGAGGGGAAAAAATTTCTTGATATCTTAACAATGAGCGTTATTTTTTTATTTATTTAATTACATTATTATTTATTATAGATTTATATATATATATATATATAATTTAATTATGAATTCTTATAATATTATATGATCTTGAACAAAAAATAAAAACTTAGATTAATTAGAATAAATAAATATGTAATAAAAAAATTAATACCTCAAGTACATCTTTTAAAGTATATAAAGGTAATGAATTTTATTTACAACCGTTTCAGAAAATATAAAATATTATAAGTTTGATGAATAAATTTGAGGTTTATCATTTAAAATCAATGTACAATTTTTTTAGGAAAGATAACAAAAATTATATCAACTAAAAGGAAATCCAGCATCTTATTTTCCCAAAGATTTTTTTTCCCGCTTAGTATTATTTTAACATAATTTTTCATATATACTTGTAATATTTACATGAGTAACACACTTTTATAAAAGTCAAATATTTCGAGATTTTTTCTTCATCACTAGCATCCTATTAAATTTAAAATTCAGAAATAACATCATTCTATCAATATATACCTGATTAGCACAATTTTTTTACATAGTTGGAATTCGATTCTTAGGAGGCCAAATTCCAACCTCACTAATTAATATAATTTTAAAAATAAAAAAATATTTATTAAATATAATAATTAAATATAAATATATATTTTATATAATATATATATATATTATTTAAAAAAAATATTTATATAATTATATTATTAATATATTTTTATAAATATAGTAAAAACAAATATATTTAATATATATATATATATATAATATTTAAATATTTATTTATATTTTTATAAATATAATAAAATTTAATAAATATATATTTATATCTTTCTATATAAAAATTTTACATAAATAAATTATATATATTATTTAAATATATTTTTAATATAAACTAATTTTAATAAGTAAAAATAATATTTTTTTTATAGAAATATATAAATATTTTTATTATATTTTAATATATTTTTACTATATTCATAAAAATATATTATAATATAATTATATAAATATATTTTTTTGTTATTTAAAAAAATATATTTATATTTATTTCATATAATTATATAAATAATTTTTTTAAATATATATATATATATATATATATATATAATATTTATATATTTATTTTATATAAAATATATATATATATATATATTTATTATATTTAATAAATATTATTTTATTTTAAAAATTATATTAATTAGTGAGGTCGAATTCAACCTCTTGGGAACTGAATTCCAATCGTGTATGTAAAAATGATGCTAGTTAAGTAAATATTGATAAAATGATGTTATTTCTGAATTATAAATTTAATAGTATGCTAGTCAAGTAAATATTGATAGAATGATGTTATTTCTGTATTATAAATTTAATATCATGCTAGTGAAGAAAAAAATATTTTCTCTAAATACATGACAATAGACTCGAAAATACCAAACAATATATAAATGATAGTGGTGAAATTTTTTTCATACTTACAATTTTACTTGTCAGGGTACCAAATTTCGATGTAGTATTTATAAAGTCGTCCACAGATATTTGTGAATTAATGATTATAATTTAAGTGAATCTTCATACTTAACCATGTACAGATTTTGAAATCAATTGTAATCACACATAAACATAAAATTAGAACAGTGAAAGAAATTTAACTAAAATGAGTTATTAAATATGATGCATTTTCTATTCTACCATTTTCTTAACCATCATGATTCTGTTAATTCAATTTTATTCTCCTTAATTCACTCAGTATGATTCCTCAATACTAAGACCTAAGATGTTTACTTTTCAACATGATTCCTCAATGAATCAAATTCAACATCCAGCATTAAACTTTCACTCTGAAGATTAGGGACAAGTAAGACCAAATTTATTCCTAAAATTTGATTTTACTTGGTGTTTGAACAGTTCCAGAATTTCAGATTTTCTTCCGAATACCTCAAAAACCTAAGTCTTAATCTAGTTAATCAAACCAAATTAAGTAATACGCACAGAATCAAACACAATTGGGTAAACAAAAATTAATTACATTCAGAGAATTGCAAAATAGAATTTACATCATATTCAATCTAGAGAGTTTAGCTCCTCATGGGAGAAAACACAAAGAAGGGAGAAAAAGAAAATTGAACACAAGCAACAGTGAAGGTAGATCCTTGTTCCCAAGCTATCTGGTCTTCTATTTTGCTTTGAATCTGTGTTTCCTGAAGCTCTGCTCGATCCCCTCTCCGTCTCTTTTTTTTTTTTCTTTCTTCGATCCCCCTCTCTCACTAAAAATCTATTTATATTAAAACAAGGGTTCATCATCCGCTCAACGCTAGTTAATCCACTGGGCAGATCTGTAAATATTTTAGCTTGAAGGAACCTAATCCGTTGGGCTACATATAATTCGTCGGGCGCATTGAAGCTTGAAATTCCCATTTAGTTGCAGCTACAATTCTGGTGGGCGCAGGAAATTCCACTGAGCGGATTGGAGTAGAACTTCTGTTTATGGCCTCATATCCGCTGGGCGCCTGGAAATCCGCTGAGCGGATGTAGAAATTTTAAATTGTTGGCCTGCATCACCAAAAAGGCCCATTTTAATACATATTTTTCAAAAACACAGTGAGGTTCTAGAAATTATACCTTGTCATAAATTTAATCAAAAAAATGTATTTTTGCAAGGTAGATTTCTACTTATGCATCATTAAGTGATTAGTTATGAATGTAAAACATGTAATATTATTCACTTAACAAATAGCATGCACAAAGTCAAGAAATAAGAAAACACTAAATTTTAACATGAAAAAACCACTCAATGTAACATAAGTTGGACAAAAACTTTTACTAATAATAATTAATGAGTATAACATAAGTTCTCTTGAATTCATCAAGATTAATATAATATCTTATCTTCACGAATAATATGGATAATAAATAACCCTAACAAGGTAATAAAGAACCAAAATACAAAATAACTTCTTCTTCGGGCTAACTTTTATGTACATAGTTACTCTAAATAATATATTCTTTTTCTCTTCTCGTAGTGACTTCTTTCCGTATTTCACTAGAGGCACACTTCTCTATTCTTTGTCTATGTCTTTTATTCTCCATTTGCCCTAAAGGACTCATATGCAAATAAAGATAATCTTATAATGGGTCAATAGCCCATACAGAAAAATATATTTATTCTTTTTAATTTAGTTAGTATGGACTCAATAAATTGGTAAATCACCTGACAAATCTCCCCCTCATTAATTAATTGGGGTTATAGTTAACAAAACATTCTTTCTTCTTGCAAATAACAAATTTTTCAATAGGTAAGAATTTTATCATCATATTTGTGTCATTCTCATTTGTATAAATATTCTCAATTGATAAATGTTTCATCTCCAACGTATCACACATCTAATGATATTAGACCTCAATATGTTTTAACCTTGAATGAAAGATCGAGTTATTATTGAGATGGATTGCACTTTCACTATCACAATACAAAACATTTTTTTATTGTGAAAGTCCTAAATGCGGTAAGAGTTTTTACATCCACAAAAGTTCTTTTGCAGCTTTTGTAACAATAATAAATTTTGTTTCTATGGAAGATAGAGAAACACATTTTTTTAATTTGGATTGCCATAACACCACTCCTCCCTACAAAATTCATCATATATCCAGAGGTATACTTTATAGAATTTACATCACTAGGCATGTCTGTATTTGTGTAACCATTTAACACATGATTACCACTTTCAAAACATAAACATTCTCCAGAAGTACCTTTGAGACCTAAGTATCCACTTTATAGCTAGTCAATGCTCTTCACTTGGATTAGTAAGTAAATGAATAACAACACTAACAACACGAACAATGTCTGTACACATCATAACATACATTAAACTTCCAGTTGTAGATGAATATGTGATTTTCTACATTTCTTTTTTCTCTTTCTCACTTGTAGAACACTGCTTTGAGCTTAACTTAAAGTGACTTGCAAGTGGAGTAGTGACAAATTTATAATTGTTCATATTAAATCTCTTTAATATCTTCTTAATATATTTTTGTTGTGATAGCCATAATTTTCATTCTTCTTGTCACGAACAATTTTCATACCAATGAATTGTTTTACAGGACCCAAAATCTTCATTGCAAAGAACTTGTTCAATTCTCTTTTGAGACTTTGAATCTCTCTCATGTCATGACTAATAATCAACATGTCATCAACATAAAACAAAAGAATAACAAATCTTCTATTAGGAAATTTTTTCATAAAAACGCAATTATCATACTCATGATCTATCATAATACAAACTCTTTCTCGGTCTGCAAACAGGTTTCTATTTACCTTTTACTATGACACCTTCAAGTTGTTCCATTAAATCTCTTCCTCCAAGTCATCATGAAGAAAAATTGTTTTCACATCAAGTTGTTCAACTTTTAAATTAAACTTGTTGTTAAGCTAAGTACAACTCTAATTGAAGGACATAGGTGAAAATATTCTTCAAAATCAATACCTTTCTTAAAAAATATCTTGGTTATGAGTTATTCTCCTCTGATTTTAGTTTGAACACCCATTTATTTTTAAGTGCTCTCTTGCCTTGAGACAACTTCACCAACTCAAATGTGTGGCTCTTAAGAATTTCATCTTTTCTTGCAGGCCTTTATATCACTTATCTTTTTCCTTATGTAACATAGCTTTTTCATAGCTTTTAGCCTCTCCCATCAATTAACAACACAAACTCATGAGGTGAATATTTTTAGAAGAACGAATCTCTTTAGTAGATTTTCTCAACTGAGACTCCATAAGAGGTTCAAGAGGAACTAATTCAGCTGGTTCATTAACTTGAGTCTTAGAATGTTATTTACATTCTCCAAATTTGCATTCACATTCACATTCCCCCATGATTAACAACATTGGTAGGAGGTTCAGGCTTAATATCAATGCACTCAGAAGCAACATGTCTTGACTTTTATTTTTTGTCAATATCTTTAATGATATGATATTTAAGAAAAACAACATCTTAACTTCTCACGATCTTATTAATCGAATCCCAAATTTTGTAACCAAAAGTATCACGACCATAACCCAAAAAAAATACATTATTTACACTTTCCATCAAGCTTATATATTTTATCTCTAAGGATGTGGACAAATTCCTTACAACCAAACACCCTCAAATGATTATTAGAATCACCTTTCCCTTTCCACACACTCTCAAGGACATCACCATTAAAAGGAATGGATGGAGATAAGTTTATCAAGATTATTGCAATTCTCAATGCCTCACCCCAAAAGGATTTATGCAACTTTGCATGAGAGAGCATGCACCTGATTCTATCATTAATTGTGTGGTTTATTCTCTCTGCAACTCCATTATGCTAAGGGATCTTTGGAACTATCTTCTCAAGCTTGATGTCATGTTCCTTGCAATAGTGCTCAAAAGGACCTCTATATTCACTACCATTATCTGCTCTAACACATCTCAACAACTTTTTTGTTTTGCTTTCAACACTTACATGGAAATGCTTGAACACATAAAGTACTTGGTCTTTGGATTTCAAAACAAAAGCCCGAATCTTTTTAGAATGGTCATCAATAAAAGTAACAAAATAAATGCAACCACTAATTGATTTAGCATCCATGGATAAAGTACCAATGTGAACTAAATCTCGGATATGTGGTCTTCTATGTGGAAGAATAATTGTGTAAAAAACCTCTATGTTGTTTTTCCTAAGATAATCAGAACAAATTTTAAGAGATGTACCTTTAATAAAAATTAACACCACAAGGTGCCTCGCCGGGATCCCAAATCGCCACGCTAGCGACCACAGTGAGCCTCCCTGGCCACCATCGTGGCCACCCCTACACCAACCATCTTCACCTGCACGGCCTTCCCCAGGAATCATTAGCTTACAGACCGTTGTTGGTTTTGGGACCGAGAAGAGGAAACCACATTTCTTTCCAAGTTGTTATTTCTCTAATTCTGGTTTCTATTTGTATTGTATATGCGTTGATCTCTTCTTGAATTGTGTGCTTGATCTATGCTTTCCCTTACTCTGTTTTGGTGGACCAATGAGGAGTTGGTGGAACTTGGACCGAAAGCTTGATTTTGTTTGTCTCACTGCAGATTGGTGTTGCCTTGTTCCAGTTTCTGGATTATAGACTCTTTTCATTCTGTTTTGATGTTGATTTTGCATCTAGGTTGAACATCTCCGATTTTGCATGTTGCCTGATATAGTTCTGGGGGTCTTGTGGTGATGTTCGGATTGTGTTGTCATGCTGCCAAATTTTCATTAAAAGCCTGAATTTGATGTGGTGATTGTTGTTCCTACCAATTCTGTCAATTGTATTGTGAAAATCTGAGTTATACCTGGTTGTTAAGACCGTGGGTCTTGTGTGATGTTCGCATTATGTCATTATTCTGCCAAATATTCATTTAAAAGCCTGACTATGATAAACAGATGATATTTTGGGTCTTATAGTATTCAGTCTAAGCCTTGTCTTGATTATGTTGTGAGTAGCATTAGGCTATTATTATGTGTGATGTACATTTGAACATTGACTATTGTAGTTGTTGGTCCTTGCGTCCTGATATGGGCCTTTGACCCCGCATGCGTACCAACCTAGGGTTGTCGACCTTGCGTACCGACCTAAGGTTGTCAGCCTCGCGTACTGACCTAAGGTTGTCGGCCCCCGCGTACCGACCTAGGCTTGTCAGTCCCGCGTACCGACCTAGGGTTGTCGACCCCGTGTATCAACCTAGGGTTGTCGACCCCGTGTATCAATCTAGGGTTGTCGACCCCGCGTATCGACCTAGGGTTGTCGACCTCATGCCTTGATTTAGGTTTATTCGGACCTACCACTAGCGTCGTCATGTCCTCTCCTTTTAAATAAACTTTGAGATATGAGTACGACCGTTTGCGTCATCATGTCATTTCCTTTTAAATAAACTTTGAGGTACAGGTACGACCGTTCGCATCATCATGTCCTCTCCTTTCAAAATAAACTTTGAGGTACGGGTACGATTGTTCGCGTCATCATGTCCTTTCCTTTCAAATAAACTTTGAGGTCTACGGATACGACCGCTTGCATTATCATGCCCTCTATTTTAAATAAACATTAAGGTACGGGTATGACCGTTTGCATCGTCATGTCCTCTACTTTAAATAAACTTTGAGGTACGGGTATGACCGCTCGCGTCGTCATGTCTTCTGTTTTAAATAAATTTCGAGGTACGGGTACGACTACTCGCGTTATCATGTCCTCTCCTTTTAAATAAACTTTGAGGTACGAGTATGACTGTTTGCGTCATCATGTCCTTTCCTTTCAAGTAAACTTTGAGGTCTACGGATACGACCGCTTGCATCATCATCATGTCCTCTATTTTAAATAAACTTTGAGGTACAGGTACGACTGTTCGCGTCGTCATGTCCTCTGCTTTAAATAAACTTTGAGATATGAGTACGATTGTTTGCATCATCATGTCCTTTCCTTTTAAATAAACTTTGATGTACGAGTATGACCGTTCGCGTCATCATGTCCTCTCCTTTTAAATAAACTTTGAGGTACGGGTACGACTGTTCGCGTCATCATGTCCTTTCCTTTCAAATAAACTTTGAGGTCTACAGATACGACCGCTTACATCATCATGTCCTCTATTTTAAATAAACTTTGAGGTACGGTTACGATCACTCGCATTGTCATGTCCTCTGTTTTAAATAAATTTTGAGGTATGGGTACAACTACTCGCGTTGTCATATCCTTTCCTTTTAAATAAACTTTGAAACACGAGTATGGCCACGTGCGTCATCATGTGTCTTCAAAACATAAAAAAATATATATTTCAAAACCTTAATCAACATACTTTTATTTTCTACAAAGAATTACGTAATCCTGATTTCTCATTTTGAATTAGAATACGTAGGAGCAAGGTTAATCCTTGTCGGGCCCCAAAAAACTAAAAACATTATTTTTGTCCATTCTCTTCTTTTTCTACTTTTATTCCTTTGTTCTCTATTTTGGAGGAAAATAAATATTTTTAAAATGACATTTAATTTCGCACATTCAACTAAGGGTAACTATCTTAGGACAGACGTATTGTTGGCAAATTTTAGGTCATGTATATATATGATACATAATTTAAATGTGTTAGGGTCATTATTTATTAAGCCAAATAATAAAGTGATCTAACTAAATTAAAAAGTTTGGCTAAAGACATATGTCATTAAAATAAAATTGTGTAGAGACCATAGAGTAATTTCTAATTTGATGAGAGGCCAAATTAGAAATACTAAAACTTAAGTAATTAACCTAATTCTGGTTATTTTAAGGGGTCATGGTCCCCTTCTGAGAGCACGTAGACAGAACGTAAGTTTCATTCCTTTTCCTTTCTTTCTATCCCCATCAAGAGAGAAATCAATAGGGAAATACAGGTGTTCTTCAGGTGGAAGACCATAAGATCAATATAGTGCTCTACAAAGACATCATTATTATGGCTAATTCAGGTACGCTTTCGCATTCAGTTTACAGCATGTTTATGAGTATGGGATTACGTTTATGTTTGATCGTTAGAATCAAAATCAGGATTATTATTATTATTATTAGTATTGATTTTCCAACAATTGGTATCAGAGCAACCCATATTTGATTAATGTCTGTTTAATTTATAGAACCCTAATTATGAAAATTAGGATTAATTTTGTTTTAAGTCATTCAAATTACCCAATTTTATGAACCCTAAGTGGAGAATAATCTCTAATTTTCGTGAACCCTAAAATTTAAATTTGGAGGTAACATCCCCAATCTGATTTTGCTTGCTGATGGAACCGTGGAGGAAGCTATGAATTCTTCTTCTTCTTCGTTTTTCCCTTTTGTTTCAGTTTAAGTTTCAAGTTTTACTGAGAAAGAAATAGTGTTTCAAATTTCAATCTTTCTTGTATTGGGTTCTTTGTTCTCTTTGAATCTTTTGTTTTTGTTTTTATTTAATTTTATGGGTTTTTGTTTTTGTTTTTATTTAATTTTATGAGTATGGGATTACGTTTATGTTTGATCGTTAGAATCAAAATCAGGATTATTATTATTATTATTAGTATTGATTTTCCAACAATTGGTATCAGAGCAACCCATATTTGATTAATGTCTGTTTAATTTATAGAACCCTAATTATGAAAATTAGGATTAATTTTGTTTTAAGTCATTCAAATTACCCAATTTTATGAACCCTAAGTGGAGAATAATCTCTAATTTTCGTGAACCCTAAAATTTAAATTTGGAGGTAACATCCCCAATCTGATTTTGCTTGCTGATGGAACCGTGGAGGAAGCTATGAATTCTTCTTCTTCTTCGTTTTTCCCTTTTGTTTCGAGTTTAAGTTTCAAGTTTTACTGAGAAAGAAATAGTGTTTCAAATTTCAATCTTTCTTGTATTGGGTTCTTTGTTCTCTTTGAATCTTTTGTTTTTGTTTTTATTTAATTTTATGGGTTTTTGTTTTTGTTTTTATTTAATTTTATGAGTATGGGATTACGTTTATGTTTGATCGTTAGAATCAAAATCAGGATTATTATTATTATTATTAGTATTGATTTTCCAACAATTGGTATCAGAGCAACCCATATTTGATTAATGTCTGTTTAATTTATAGAACCCTAATTATGAAAATTAGGATTAATTTTGTTTTAAGCCATTCAAATTACCCAATTTTATGAACCCTAAGTGGAGAATAATCTCTAATTTTCGTGAACCCTAAAATTTAAATTTGGAGGTAACATCCCCAATCTGATTTTGCTTGCTGATGGAACCGTGGAGGAAGCTATGAATTCTTCTTCTTCTTCGTTTTTCCCTTTTGTTTCAGTTTAAGTTTCAAGTTTTACTGAGAAAGAAATAGTGTTTCAAATTTCAATCTTTCTTGTATTGGGTTCTTTGTTCTCTTTGAATCTTTTGTTTTTGTTTTTATTTAATTTTATGGGTTTTTGTTTTCGTTTTCTTTTCATGGTGGATATGGATGAGTTTGGAATTGGGGGTGGTGTTTGGGGAATTCCCAACATAAAAAATCTTAGGTAAATGATGAATGTTTCCACAGGTGTGACTGTTCTTATTTTATTTCCTTTAGGAAAATTTGATGTTAAATTCCCCTATTTAGGGTTTGAATGATTACTGTTTAATCCCCTTTTAGGGTTTAGAACAGTATGCTAAAGAGACTCAAAACTATCTCTGTTTCATCCCTAGTGTGATTTTAGGGAGATGTTCATCCTTTATGTATTGGTGGAAAATGAGGCATTTTTTCATCCTTTGATTTGTTCAAATGAGGTGTTCATCCCTAATGAGATTCTAGGAAGGTGTTCATCCTTAGTAGAATTCTAATGAGGTGATTCTCTTTTGAATTAGTTTGCAAATATTAAATATTTGGTTTTGTTATATAAATAAAATATTCAATTTTTTGGTAGTTTAATATTTTTTGTGAGCAAATTGAGTCAAGAAGTCACCAAAGTAACCTCTCTTGAATTGGACAGTTCATGAAAAATATTGAATGTTAGTGTTTGTGTATATTCATGCGAGTGTTAGTCAGCCCAAATGAAGATTAATATTTGGTCGAATTGCATACACACTTGTAATGATAAACATGTGATAATTATAAGGATTTGCTTTGTCGATGATAAATCAATCCAAAGACTGGTTTGTTGTTGGACGTGCTTTATTGTCAATGTTTGATTATTATAACAAGATACCTCTAGCAGTTAATATTACTGTCCAAAGACTTGATATTGATGGTGCATTGGGTGTCTTGAGATGGGTCAAACCACTATTTGAATATATATTATTTATTTTTTATATAATGTGAGCATAATTAGTTTATTTCTCGTGTTCTAAATTCAGCTACAATTGCTTCTGTATCTGCCAATTTAAATTCTGTTCCGGTCCTCAATGGAACAAATTTTAAGGACTGGAAAGAGAACATTAATATTATTCTTGGTTGCATGGATATGGATCTTGCGTTAAGGACTGAGCAACCCTCTACTCCTACGGATTCAAGTACCTCTGAACAGAAAAGAGATTATGAGAAGTGAGATCGCTCAAATCGTATGAGTCTAATGATCATTAAGCGCGGCATCTCGAAGGTGTTTAGGGGCACTGTTTCTGAAAACATCACAAGTGTCAAAGAATTTCTTGCTGAAATTGAGCAGCGTTTTGCAAAAAGCGATAAGGCAGAGGCAAGCACTCTTCTTCAGAACTTGATCTCCATGAAATATCAAGGCAAAGGAAATATCAGGGAGTACATTATGAGCATGTCTAATATTGTTTTTAAACTCAAGGCACTAAAGCTTGAACTCTCAGAAGACTTGCTTATTCATTTGGTGTTGATTTCTTTTCCTGCAACGTTTAATCAATTTAAGGTATCTTACAACTGTCAGAAGGATAAATGACCTCTTAATGAGCTCATTTCACATTGCGTACAAGAAGAGGAAAGACTAAAGCAAGACAAGACAGAAAGTGCTCATTTTGCAAGCACCTCCAAGGCTAAGGGCAAAAGAAAGAGATCAGAGGATCTCGAGAAAGAAACTGCTAAGGGTCCAAAACAAAAGAAACAAACTCAAGAAAACAAATGTTTCTTTTGCAATAAGATTGGACACGTAAAGAAGAAATGTGCTAAATATCATGCTTGGCGTGAAAAGAAAGGGTTGCCTAAACTACCGGAAGCCAATTGATTCTGAAAGATGGATTTATGTTGGAGATGACAAATTAGTAGAGGTGGAAGCTATAGGGCATTTTAAATTGTTATTGAGTACTGGTTTTTTATTTGGATTTGAAAGACACTTTTGTTGTGTCGTCATTTAGACGGAAT